CTTGTAAGGGGCATATCCCTGTGTGTTTCCTAAGTAACAGGATGTAGGAAATGCTTTTGTGAGCACTTCACTGATAGTGGGATGGATGCAAAGTTCTAAGACAGGAATGATTACTACTCAAGAGCAAAATATCTGCTGTAAACTGGCTGATTCCATTATTTGGCCCTTGTGTACACTTCTAGAAACCTGTTGGGCCTTCTTTGATGTCCATGTTCTAATTTTTTTACTATGTGCTTGCCTTGGATGTTTTATCCCTGACCTGGGAACCCTGTGCGGTTTCTCTGTCTGAATGTACAGTTTAGACTACAGATTCTTCGGCATGTCTCTGGATTGCTTCTGTGCTCTACTTCTTCTGCTTGAGGCACTCATCTCTTAGTGAGAAGCTTCTTTCCTATCACCCTCACAGTATTTGGTCCAGCTTTCTTTTCACACTTTCAATGGCTTAAAGTACCACACACCAATACCAGCAGGATTTACCATCAACTGGGATTAGCAAAACAGGGTCAAAATCCAGTTTCTAATCAGCATAGCTGATCTCCAGCAAAAATCTCAGCTAGGGCCTCAGGAAGCAGGCTTGACAGTAGAGCGATCAGGCCAGGGATGGCAGATAGTCTCCAAACTGGCACCTTCCGTCTTTGAAGGAGCCAGATGTTCCAGATTCTAGTTCTTTAATGGGGGAATAGGAGGCTCAGCTGTCACTCCTTTGACTGAGGAAAAAACGTACACTGAGTGCTCTCACCCGCTCGTTCCCTGTCTCCATGTTGAATCCCTGAGCTCAACTGTACTGGGTACTCCCCATTTAAGAAACCAATTTATTTCCTATCCCTGAAGAATAAACTAACCAAATGGAGGAAGGCATTCCTTTTAGAAGGGCTCTATGTTTTAAGAACCTCTTAAAGGCTCATAACCTATTTCACCCGTGTTAGTGTTCCCGTCATCCCTACGAAGGTCCCAGGACTGATGTGAACTAAACTGGCTCTTGAGACACAACTGTTCCCTCAGTCACACCTAATTCCCACCCTTGGCCAATGTGGCTCTTACTTCAAGTCACAGTCTCTTGATGGTACTGCTAGTTCCATGGAGGAGGCATGGAGGTCCTCGCAGAAACGTTAAACAGTTGTCCCTTCATTGAGAGGGATGTATAACCTGTTTGCCACCCAGAAGGCCGGAATGGCTGCGGTTAATAATCTGGTGACCTTTGTGTTAGCTGTGGGGTCAGGCCACACTGAATCCCCCGCAACCCCCATCTTTATCTTGCTAGTTTCAGTCAATCTACAACACTCTCCTCCCCAGACCCTTATCACGAGCTTGTTTCTCTGGAACCTGTTTACTCAGTTAACCCATAGAGCCTACCTTTAAGGAAAATGTCACTTTACTTTACAAGAGTTTTGATGTGGTCATTTCTTAAGCTTTGTTGTGCACATGGAACTGAATTATCACCTGGAAGCTTACCAAACTATGTTGTGCTTAAATATGCCTAAAATAAACTACTTCAGACCTCTGAAGTTTGAATCAATGTCAGTTACTGAGTTACGTTAAACAGAACTAACTGTCTTATCTCTCCCAGATGGAGATTCTGATGGCTTTGGTGGTCACAGAGACACCCACAGTTCCAGGAGGTCCCCAGAGGGAAACAAATTACAGGTATGTTCACCCTGTTTCTGGTAGATGCTGCTTTTGTTTTTAATTTATATAAATGACGTAAGTCTACCTGAAATCACTACTCTGAGGTAATTTATCTTTAAGCAAACGGTTTATATAGGGATAAGGGGGACAAAGGGAAAAATCACCTGAACCTGAATCACCAGAATATTGTGAAAAGTAGACTGTGATATGTTCTAGTTTAAAAGGCCTGGGCGATATCTCAGATCTACTACTCTCCTCTTCTGCTAATACACGGAATTGCTTTCTGTCAAGGCTAATGCACAGGATGAGATGGCTCTCCTCTCTGACCTTCACTTAGACGGCAGCTTTCAGGTTAGAAACACAGCAGATTTATGCTTCTCCATGGCAGCAAATCATCAATTCACTTAATGAAATATAAGTGATTTTGTGCACTTGTGTTCTAACCAGAGCTGATCTGGTACAGCTGCATATGTGTGTATGTGCAAATATATATGAATTTTTAATATAATTATCTTACATCTCCTTCCAGACATCTGGACTGTGTTAATACCCGGTCAGCAGCCCACATCCTTCAGAAGACAGGAAATTGATATTCCTGAGATGAGAGATCAGATGCTACTTGAGAGGGCAAGGCATCCATGTCTAACGAGAAGCAACTTTCCACAACGCCGTCCTGCTGCCCTGAAACAAGGCTCAAAGCACCACACACCAGTAGTTCACAGTGCTTTTCCAGCTCCAAAAACGTCAGCACTTACGAACAACTGGATTTGGGAGACCACCGCAGTTCCAGTCCCAGGGTGAGACCAGTCTCGTTTGTCGCAGGCAGGATGTTCAGCCAGTCGCTCCTCAACAGTCTTAGAGAGAAAACTGCAAACGTGTGTGTGTGTGTCTGTGCGCATGCACGCACGTGCACCTGTGTGTGTGAGGGGGGCTTATGTGTCAAGCTGTGTATGTGGTCGTCAGCTGCTGGAGCAGGTTCTCTCCTTCTTCCATGTGGGATCCAGGGATCAAACTCAGGTCGGCAGCCTGGCAGAAAGGGTCTTTACCCACCAAGCCATCTCACTGGTTCCCCACCTCTCTTTTACCCTCAATTTCCTACTGCTCACAATAATAAAAAGTAAACAAAACATTTTTCTTTTAAATAATTTAATATATTTTAATATTAGTGGATTTTTTTTTCTTTTTGGTTTTTCAAGACACAGTTTCTCTGTGTTAAAAAGAGGGTATTTTTTAAGTTTTGGTGGATTTGAACTCCTGACCTCCTGTCCCAGCCTCCTCAGTGCTGAGATTACAGGCTAGCGCCACTGACCGTTCTTTTTGAATTCACTATGTAGAACAGGCTGTTCTGCCTTGTTTCTCAAGTGCTGGGGTTATGCGCTGCCACACTTGGTTAAAGGAAATATTTTTTATGCTGGGTGCCGGAATTCACTTTGACTATCCATCAAGTACTTGGAAATCGTACCAAAGAAACCATCAATTTTTAAGAAGAAATATGGTAATAAAATTTATCTAAGCCGGGAGGTGGTGCTGCATGCCTTTTATCCCAGCACTTGGAAGGCAAAGGCAGGCAGATCTCTGTGAGTTCGAGACCAGCCTGGTCTACAAGAGCTAGTTCCAGGACAGGCTCCAAAGCTACAGAGAAGCCCTGTCTCAAAAAACCAAAAAAAAAAAAAAATTATCTAAAGTACATGTATATTTTAAATCTCAAACTGTCTAAGTAGACTTCTGATGGAGGAAGGTCATTGGCTAATAAAGGAACTGCCTTGGCCCATTTTATTGGTTAGAACATAGGTAGGAGGAGTAAACAGAACAGAACACTGGGAGGAAGAGGAAGTGAGGTCAGACTCCACAGCTCTGCTCTCGGGAGCAGCCGCCTGAGAGAGACGCCATGCCCTGCTCCCTGGCAGACACACGCCATGAAGCTCCAACCCAGGATGGACATAGGCTAGAATCTTCCTGGTAAGACCGGTGCCCACAGATTATTAGAGATGGGTTGATCGGGATATCAGAATTAGCCAGTAAGGGCTAGAGCTAAAGGGCCAAGCAGTGTTTAAATGAATACAGTTTGTGTGTTGTTATTTCTGGTGTAAAGCTAGCTGTGCGGGAGCCGGGCGGGGCGAAAAGCAGGCCCGCAGCTCTTATTACTACAGTGAAGTCCCTCCAATGTAGTTTTTAAAAAAGAAATCTTTAGACTTAAAATTTTAATGAAGGGACCTGTTAGTTGGGTGTAAGGGAATAGAATTTCATGCTTTTTAGTATTAGATATTATATCCAGCGGGATAAATGCATTTCTGTAAAATATTTTATTATTTAATAATGTTTAGTTCTTAGTAAGCACCATTAGAATGCAACTGGGTTTGTTTTTATTCCTGAGGAGTGTGTCGGCGAGTAAAATGATTAGCACCGACAGAGTGACGTCCATCATCTACTCACGATTATCATAATGTATCTCATGCATTGGATTTATGTGTATTGTTTGCTTTTCTGTGTTATGTCTTGGTTCAGGACCCAGCTTTGATCATGATTCTGCTCAGTGGATGCTAGGTGAGACATTTAATCAGGGGGGTCTCTGGGGTCACTTCACACATGTTATGTGGATAAAAATAAATTCTAAAAAGAAAATAAGAAATTAATATAGCCCGTACTGCTGTTGTCACTAATTAGTCCAATTACGCAGTTCCTACGTGCAGAGAAGGGGTTCGGGCCCACTCTGTTTTGCTCCGGCCTATCAATTTCACAGCACTAGAGAATGAAGCCTGCATTAGCACACAAGCTTGATCCACCGCAAACGACTCCCTTATTGATCTTCCCTAGGCCTTGCTCTCATGCAGACCAGATATTTGTCATAATTCTACTTTTCTACGTTCATGCTCACTGTCAAGCCTTTCTTTCTTCCTGGGGGGCAATAATTCGGAAACAACCCCACCTGAAGGGTAAGGATGGAGGAAATAACCACAGCTCTCTAGCTTTTTAAGCCTACAGGTGGGACCGCAGTCAGTCCTTGATGAGCACGCCAATGAAGCTTCAGTTCTCAAAGCACGGAGCGTAACACCCTTCACAAGGTGCCATTCCTTAAAAGCCTACCCGCTACAAAAGCTGGAAAGGTTCGACCAGTGTTTTTGGAAAGGAAAATCCCCAGTCACAAGTCTCTGCGGTGTTACTACTGTAGCGGACATAGGGAATTGACTGGGTATGATGCCAGCTTTTAGAGAGACTGCTACACAGTTGCAGAGCGCTTTCACGCAGCAAAGGGTGACACTGTTCCCGCACTATACCCCAACAGTGCCAAGGTGCCCACGGAGGTCTGCAACATGCTGCACACGCTCCCCAAATCCCTCCCTCGGCGACAGCGCGCGCCCGCGGGGGCCCATTACCATCCTGCAGAATGAGGGTGGGTTGCACTGCTTGCACTCGGAACTGCCTGGCCCTCCAGCCAGGGCTGGGGGCCCGCACCACCTCGCTGTCAGAGAGCCAGGTCACGGTCTCAAAGTTGTCCCCGCGAGCGAGGGCCTCGGCTTCGGCGCGGTGCACAGCCACCTGGTCGAACTGGTAGAGACCGCCGGAGTGATCGAAATGCACGTGGGTGGCCACGGCCAGCAGCGGTCGGCGCCCAGCATCCTCCTTAGCCCCGCAGTCCTGCAAGAGGCCGGAGGAGTAGAGGTACTCCGGGAGGCTGCGCAGCCCCAGGCCTGTGTCGATCACTACGTCCTGCTCCGAGCCGCGCACTAGCCAGATGTTGGCTCGGTTGCCTGACTCGTAGAAGCGTTCTTGAATCCAGAAGATGCCATCGCCCAGAGACTTGTGGGCGTACCACTCGAGCGCGGACATGCTGCTGCGCAGGGGTGCGGCCGGGAGAGGTGGGTGTGCCTCCCACGGGCAGTCCCGGACCCGGCGCTGCCGCAGTGAGCCGCGTACCACTCTCAGCCCCGGAGGAGGCGCGAGCGAAGGGCGGGGATGCGGAAGGGAGTGCGGATAGGACGCGGCGACGCTGTCCCCCGATCGTCCGGTGCGCAGGGCGCAAAGGCTGCCTGGGCTGCCGCAGCTTCTGCAGCCGCAGCACCAAGGCAGTAACGCAGGCCGCTGCAGCGGGGCGGAGACACGGGGCAACCCGGGCCTGCTCGGGGGTTCTACTGCAGAGGCTGGGGGTGTTGCGTGGGAAGTGCCAGGACCGCCCCCACACGGGCAGTGGGCGCAGCTCACTCGCCGCCCGGGCTCAGAGCGAGGCTGAGCCAGTTGGAGGCTGACTACGGCGCCTGCCAAGGGCTAAAAAGCTCCGTGCTGGGGGTGTGGCCTCACCGGGAGTGGGCGGGGTTCCTAGTGGGCTCGCAGAGCGCTGGGGCCGCGTGTGCAGCACCGTGCGCCCTGCTGGAGAAGTGGAATCCGTGGTTCTTGACTGGCCCGACCACCCGCATCCCCGCCACCTCGGCTGCACAGCGTGCCCAAGCCTCGAGACTAAGTGAGCAGGTAATAGAAAGCTGTCCGGGATTGGGCTGGAGGTGAAGAGATAGAAAGGAGTTGATGAGGGCACGTGGAGAACGTGGTGGACCGGCATCCCGAGCCCAAATTCAGCAAACCTCTGGAGTGACTTGGGAGAGGAACCTTACCTCTCCAAAGCATACTGCTGCCTTCCAAACCCTTTAACGTCTTGGTAGCCAGATCTCTAGTCTCCTCTTGGGGGTGTTCTCAGTGAAGTAGAAGAGTTTATGCTCTTGAGGATACTACAGAAGAATTTAGCAAATCAAGTGATCCTCCGGGTTGGCACTGGTTTGTCTGCAGATTGCTGTTAAGGGCATACCACTCCGCTTCTGTTTTCTTAACTGTTTGTCACCCTTGATAATGGGCCAAGGGGTTGTTGAAGGGATTCTTCTTTAAACAGCTCTAAATCCCCGTCAGGTTTTGCGCGGTTCTTTGCTCTTTGAAGAGAGCAGAGATAGCAAAACATAGCTAATGAAGGGTGGAGCACTTTGAGGCGACAGGAGAAGTGGATAATGACTGGGTGTGGCCTTGCCGGCCACTGAAATCGCCCCCACTTCTAACATGAAGTCCTTGTGCCCGCCCCCGCCCCCCCCCCGCAAGCCCTGCTAGCTGCATTTATTTAGGGTTCAGAAATTCTCTTGAGAAGTTGACGAACCCTCAAAAAGTACAGACTCATGGGACAGCATTATAAAGGATAATTAGGAAAATGCTTACTGTGGCATCTCCTAATACACTTTCCTGGAGGGAGGGTGTGTTCTTCCTATACTCCTGGGAATGTAGCAGGGTGGGAATGCAAGCAGGTTGCTGCTCCTTTCAGTATTTTGCTAATCTCATCTAAGTAGAAGTTATTCAGCTATGCAATTGGAACCACTCTTAGCACTAAATGATGCGTGATGAACAGAAAGCTATATTTCATAAAGTCTTATTTGAGTTCTTAAGAATCTGAGGAAGTGCTGGGCAATGGTGGTGCTCGCCTTTAATCCCAGCACTCAGGTGAGGCAGGCAGATCTCTGTGAGTTCAAGGCCAGCCTGGTCTACAGAGTGAATTCCAGGACTGGCTCCATAGCTACTAAGAAATCCTGTCCCGAAAAGAGGAAGCTAATATTGGTATACAAATACTTGTAATATAAGGCAACATGGACGCAGAAATCGGATGCTACGAGGAGGGACTGTTGAATGACTACAGCAGCCTTAAAGAAGACGTTGTCAGCAGAGAGGCACAGTGCCTCCTGTACTTGATGCTTCCCTGCAGACGGAAGCCACTAGGTAAAATAGTACAATATCATTACTTGGCCATGAGCTCAGCAATAATTCGCCCATAATTATTTGGCTTATGCCAGGCTGCAGTTCCCAGCGGCTCTCTTTTTCTACTTTTCAGTATGACTTTGCTTCTCATCTTTGTTAGATTTACACACGGGTATTACCGAATGAGGCAGGACTTCTTCAACTGGCCTTTCTGGCCTGTTTCTTGCTTTTATTCCGTACCACCTACCAGTCTCTTGAAGGTCTGGCTAAGCTATATCTTGCCTGTTGACTGAACGCCATTAGAGCAGGGGTGTTATTTATTCCCTCTGTATTTCCAACACAGAGAATGCCTTGACACAGAGGGCTCTCAATGAAGACTCCAGTAGCTGATGGAAGACCCTCCCTGGGGAGACACACAAGAACCAACAGTTACTTGGTGAGAGGCAGAAGTGTCCTAAGCTCTGTTGAACGAAAAGGGTGGTACATCAGGATTGTAAAGATCTGCCTTCTAAAATGACTAGGAAGCGGACTGAAAATCAGAACCTGAACTTGAGCAGTCTATGTTGGAGGGTCAGATGGGAGATGCTGAAGGCCCAAGCTAATGCAGAAGTTAAAGGACAAGAACAGGGAACGCAGAACTAGGAGTCTTCTGCTAGGGGAGCAGAGGAACAGCCAGGGCGGAATGAGTCAGGCTCTTGACTAGAGCAAGTTGCGAGTTTTTCAAAGTTACTGTGGCCTGGTTTCTGTTGCCTGCCCTTGGACATTTATTCATCTAGCTAAATGTGTAAGGCCGTGTACAACATGAGGACAGTACTTTTTTTTAAAAAACTATTTATTTATTATGAGTAGTGTTCTGCCTGCGTGTATGCCTGCAGGCCAGAAGAGGGCACCAGACTTCATTACAGATAAGTGTGAGCCATCATGTAGTTGCTGGGAATTGAACTCAGGACCTCTAGAAGAGCAGCCAGTGCTCTTTACCACTGAGCCATCTCTCCAGCCTGAGGACAGTATGTTTAAGTCACAATCATAACTCGTGACAGTTTGAACCTAGGATGTCACGTTCAGCCTTGTCCCGCAAGGATGATGCAACACCCAGAGCTCTTCCTGCTAGCAGTTTATTCAGGCCCTTTTTTTAAAAAAAATATTTATTTATTTATTTATTATGTATACAATATTCTCTCTGTGTGTATGTCTGCAGGCCAGAAGAGGGCACCAGACCTCATTCCAGATGGTTGTGAGCCACCATGTGGTTGCCGGGAATTGAACTCAGGACCTTTGAAAGAGTAGGCAATGCTCTTAACCACTGAGCCATCTCTCCAGCCCTCAGGACCTTTTTTTTAACAATTGTATCTCTCTCTCCTCTTTCTCTTCCCCTCTGTCCCCGGGCAAACCTCTCCCAGCCCTTAAAAAGGCACAGGCTGCCAACCCCGGATTGCCAGGTGGGCACTGCCCATAGGTTCACGCATATGCAAGCAGCTGACAATCATTGCGTGATCAGGCCTTAGCCATAATAGGAGTCAGGTCTTAGCCAATATTAGGAGATGATTATCAGATGTGGCTACACGCAGCTCACTACACTAGGACAAACTGCAGAGATTAGTTTACACTCTTTCAGAAGATTGTATTTAGAGTTAATTAGGGTAGACTTTCGATCTGACCTCTACAGGCACCTACAATCATGTACACATACACACATATAAAATGAAATCTGAAAATTCAGAACTTTTGGCAGTTACTAATTTCCCTCATTGATTCTCCATCTCTGGGATTAAAATGATTATCAATTAGTTTAGACACATGCTTCCAGAAATAAAATATAGATCGGACATTGAAAGGATTTCCTGAGAACTACTCCTGCTTTGGTATGAATTGATTGAGACTATCAAATAACCTTTGAACTCTTCTATAAAATGGGAGATTTAATCTACTGTGATTCTTAGTTTAGCCAGGGCTGAATAGTGAGTGAGACCCTGGAGAGATAGAGAGAGATAGAAAGAGAGAGAGAGAGATCACTTATAGTAAATATAGATGCCAGAATATTTTAAATGAAGGGATGTTTTGAAGGAAGAACTTGGTGACTGAAGCTTTAGTGCTCTCTGCTCAGTACCTTTCCAGAATGTTCAGTGCCAGTTGAGGAATTTACTGAGTTAAATTGGGCTATTCTAAACAGATTTGGATAACGGGGAAGTAGAGAAAACAAAAACTCTTCATTCAAGAAGTTTGGAAGCTGAAGCAGGAATATTAGAATATCAAGACCTGCCAGGATGTAGAAAGTGCTCAAGTCCAGTCTGCCTCAAAAATTATGTCTGTAAATTAACAAAAATTAAAAGGCCAGGGCTGAAGTTTAGTGGATGATTGCCGTGTGTGAGAAGCCTGAGTTCAGTTCCTGGCATCAGAACAACATACTTTCCCCTGAAAATGTCTGACAGGTGGAAAAAAAATAAGATCAATGTATTGGATAAACCAAGTAAAGGATTTCAGTGACTGATGCCTAGACCTCACTTGTGAGCTTCCCCTGGCTACAGAGGAAGTTTGCGGGACCTGTACCATGTGCGGATCGCCAAACCGAACAGAACGGTGCATAGTGGCCAGTATGTCTAGTAACGAAGGTGTCTCAAGAGCAAGGATTGAATTTCCACAGGTTACATTTAGTGTTATGATAATTGCATAATGACGACATGATAAAGATAGGAAGGTCGAGTCTGCAAAGCGTATTTGGTGGGGGGGGATATTTCATTAAACTGTGTTAGCTGAGATACTCTCTTGGAGAGAATATTCCAAACTGTTTCCAGAGCCCAACTCAAAAAATACTGGTTTATTAGGTTGAGAACCAGTTGTTCCCAGTAGCCTGTTTTATGTCTCCCAGTTAATTCCTGTGATCAGGCGGGCTTGGGGAACATTGCCTAGACTTGTTCTTAATCTTTAATTGGCGACAGATTCTCGACTGGCCATGCCTGTTGGGCCCCTCCAGCTGTTCCATAGAGTAAAACTGTGAAGCTCTTACTCAGCGGTTGCCTTACTTGAAATACCAGCTTTTTGTAGACTCAGCATGTTTGAGTGACTCAGCAACTGCAGTGAGGCCGTTTGGATGGATTACCCCTCTTCTACAGCAGACAGATGGAATGAACTTCAGTGTAAAGATGAATTTCATGAACTGACTTTGTCTTTAAGGTAACTGGTGTATGAGAAAAATTAATTCCTAGTAGAATTTCAATCAGCAAAAATGATAAAAAAAAAAAACATGTATCATTCAAGTCGACAGCCCTCTAAAAAATTGCATATCAGCATTTTGTAATCTATAATGGAATAGTAGATCTAGACAATTCGGTGCAAGTGATAAGCGTCCTCTACTAAGCAAGACAGACCAATAGTAACTAACTCTCCTGACTGCCACCAGGAGAGCGATTAAATGTGTATTGCTATGATATAATGAGAAAAACAGTATTTCTTAAATGTGCTAGCAACAAAAGTCAGTCCAAAATCTGAGTGAGCCTCTAATTTACCTGCTCATCGGAGACAGTGCTCAGAGTGGTGCATTAAAGTACTTAGGTATGGGGTCCTTCACACCCAGAATGCGGGAAGCTGTTGCTAATTTTGCGTTGTGCTCAGATGCAGTGGCGTCTCTGGGAATGTGTGGCAGAAAGTCCTTAGGCCCCGCTCAAGACCAGCTGCCTCAGAACGCAAGCATTTGCTTGTACCTTCATGTTCTGGTGGCACGTGCTTTACAGGACAGCAACCGAGTCTTCTCCAGAAGTAAGTAGCAAGGAAAACAGAACACGGAAAGCTTTACAACTGGAAGGAGATGTAGGAGACACGTCATTCCAATGCCATGTGAACAGAATTGTAAAGCCACTCGGGTAGTGGGTGAGGAGGTTTGGATGCTGATTACATGTAAGGAACCGTGACAGTTCTGCGTGTGATAGTATGTGGGTTTAAAATTTTTAATTAGCTCATAAATTAGCTCATTTCCTGATAGTATTTTCATACATACTGAGTTTTGGTTGGTCCTTCATCTTCTGCTCCCCATCCCCAGACTCTCCACTGCCTCTTCTCCCCCTTCCACTGTTCCACGTGTATTCTTCTGTCCCAACCTCTCCCTCAAGGCTTCCTTTCTTCTTCCTCATGGGCCCCTTTGGAGTTTCCTGACCTCTGACTACTTACTGCTTCACAAATACACATTAACAGAAAGTCAGAAGGCAGGATCTGCACATGAGACTACAAACAGTTTTGGTCTTTTCCATCCTGGGCTACCTCAAGTAATATAAGTAATATACATTCCAGTAATATACATTTCCCTCAAATTTTATAATTTTATTTTTCTTTATGGTTGTGCATATGGACTGCATCTTTATTACTTTCATTGTGGATGGACAGCTAGACTGTTGATGGACATTTGGTCTTGTTCCGTGTTCTTGCTACTGTGAATAGACGTGGAATACGCATGGATGTACAGGTATCTTTGTGGTCGTCCTTTGGGTGTATGCCTAGGAGGCTATGATTGGTGCGTACTACGTTCTTTTTCTTTCTATTGAGAAACCTCCACACTGATTTCCACAATGGTTTATCATATTTTTTTTCTCATGTAACTCTCAGAGAATATGCATAAGGAAGAGTTTTTAAATAACCCACGTCACAGGACTGGGAGAGCATGGAGAAGTGATTAGTCACATATTGGTAGCTCCTGAAACGGAATGATCGGTAGGTCCATGGGAGTCAACGAAGCTGCCTGTCCCACCTGTGTATATGTGCATAGACTTGTGGAAGGTAATTGAACTCTGCAACGATGGAAGCAGGCTTATATAATCATTTTTTAATGTTCAGGCACTGACGTAGGCAAATATTAAGTAGTAAAGAACATATGTATAATGATGAATTTCGAAAACATGCAATGTAAAATTGTTTCTAAAAATGTTCTCGGCTTCAGCCATTATAGTAAGTCCAAGACTGCTTGAGCAATTCACAAAAGAGAGGAAACAGTATTTCCCCGCTGATTTGATTTTTCTGCATGTAACTACAGCCATAGACATATGAAATCATTAACTCTGACAGCCGCAGAGCCTTTAAGAAGCTGCAGTTATTTGATTCTGCTTATTTCCTGTAAATGAATTAACAGGTTGGTCTGTGGCATCCTGTGATCCAGATGTGTGGCAGGTCACAGTTATTACATAATTGCTGCTTGAGAACTAAAGTCACTGAGTGTAATTAATATAACTTCAGACCTCAGAGGTGGGGCTTCTGGACAGGCGCAGCTGTGTTTTAACTGAACTGCTGATCAGGTATCCCCTGGAGCATCCTCCCAGTATCCTCAACATATCCTCTGTGTTGTAGTCATCTGGTTAGATTTTCAGACCACTCTTGCCTAATCTTCACATCTTGATCGAGGGTTTCTGTGATTCACAACCTTTTACATGCATCAGAACTACCTTGAGGCTGTCTAAAGATACAAATTTAAGCCACACACTGAAGCCAGCCCCTAGAGCTGTGACCACTCCCTCTCATTCCTCTCCTCTCTCCTTCCTCCTCGCTTTTTCTTTGCAGTAGGACCTACAGTTTGCATTTTCAGCGCTTACCTGAATGAGGCTGCTGTCACCTGCACTGTTGAGAAATTACTGCTCCAAGTGTCTCGGCATTAATTAATCCCAGGTCATTAGACAGTGACTGCCGGGGTTGAATTCTTTTTATGTTGGCCCCACGATAAAAGTTTAGATTTCCAGGCGTTTCAGCCAGGCTATTACATTATACTCAGACAATACGAAGAAGTAGCTAGCACCTTGTTTATTTTTGGAGGCCTTCCCTTATCATTAATGTCACAAAGCCAGGACTAGCATTTGTAGTCTTGGCATCCTGACAGGAGACCTGGTTTGGAAGAGCATCTGTGCGGAACGCTGTTGGCCACGTGATTGTGAGAAAGGTGACTTACTTGGCATGCTCATATATTTTTTTTTAAAGATTTATTTATTTATTATATATACAACATTCCTTCCATGTATGTTTGTATGCCAGAAGAGGGCACCAGATCTCATTATAGATGGCTGTGAGCCACCATGTGGTTGCTGGGAATTGAACTCAGGACCTCTGTAAGAGCAATCAGTGCTCTTAACCTCTGAGCCATCTCTCCAGCCCGCATGCTCATATTTTTACCATTCAATACGAAAGCAAATATGACTACTACTCAGCTGGACGTGGCTGTGAGAAGAACTAAATCCTGCTGAGAGTTTGATATTGTGGGACATAAAGCATCTCCTGAGATTTTCAGAGTTTCTCTGTCACTCAATTTTATGATCATTAGTGCTGGAAAAGTGGTTTCACACAAGGAAAACAAACTGGCAGAAATGTCTGGGAGCCTTTTCTGGAATTATTGGAAATTCTGTCCTAGTCCCAAGCCTAGAACCAGTAAGCAAGTTTTTATGACGCACGAGTCAGCAATTCAAATCACCGTTTTTAAAGTCAAATTTTGTGGTTTTTGATACATGCTGAAGAATGAATAGAAAACAGTGGAAGTCTTTGTAAAATATTGAAGGTCTTTGCTTCTATTATGTTTCTATAAACAGCACACAGTAGCTCCAAGTCTGAGCTGCGGTGTCTCAGGCAGTGACTGCCTGCCTTGTGTGATGGGAGGGCCTGCACGACGCCACATGTGTGTGTTTCCTTCAGTGCCAAGGCTGAAGTGACACCAGGTGAGGGCTCATTACAGAGTATATTTTTTTTTAGTAAATTTTTGGTTGTTGATCATTCCGAAACTTTTATTATTGCCAAGTTTTTTAGACACACACAGTTCCACAACCCAGTAAAGGGCCATAAGCCACAGTTTAGGAATCAGGTTTTGCACACTAGTGGTACATGTCGTAACTTGAGTGCCTGGGAATGGGGCTTACAGACCAGCCAGTCTCAAGCTGCAGGTTCTGTGAGAAATCTTGTCTCAGATAAGGTAGAGAAGCAACTAAGTCAGATGTCCAGCGTGATGTCAGCCTCCCCCTGCGCACATGTCTGCGTGGGAGAATGAACCCCTCCCACACACGTTTACACACACATACTTCCCCTCCATCTCCTCCTCCTTCTCTTCTGTCTCTTTGTCTGTCCTGTTATCAAACCGTAGATAGATGGAGGGAACCTTACAGTTAACTGAGTATTTCTACCATCCCAAAGAAGACCCAGGGCCAGCCCTGTCCTGTGGACTTGAGTGAAGTTTAGTCTTCCTCTCTACACAGTGATGAACATGTGAAAAGTTCCCCCATCTTACTCACTTGCTCCTATCCACATTTCTTTTTAATAAAATTCTTTCTCGTACAATATATTGTAATGACACTTTTCCCTTCCTCCAGCTCCTACTAGATCCTCTCCACGCACCAACTCCATGCCCTTTCTTTTTTTTTTTAATTTATTTATTTATTAAGGATTTCTGCCTCGTCCCCACAACCGCTTCCCATTTCCCTCCCCCTCCCCCGATCAAGTCCCCCTCCCTCATCTGCTCAAAGAGCAATCAGGGTTCCCTGACCTGTGGGAAGCCCAAGGACTGCCCACCTCTATCCAGGTCTCGTAAGGTGTGCATTCAAACTGCCTAGGCTCCCACAAAGCCAGTACGTGCAGTAGGGTCAAAAACCCACTGCAATTGTTCTTGAATTCTCAGTATTCCTCATTGTCTGCTATGTTCAGCTAGTCCGGATTTATCCCATGCTTTTTCAGACCTAGGCCAGCTGGCCTTGGTGAGATCCCAATAGAACATCCCCATTGTCTTAGTGTGTGGGTGCACCCCTCGTGGTCCTGAGTTCCTTTCAAGACAGGGTTTCACGACGTAGCGCCAGCTGTCTTGGAACTCTGTAGAGGTCTAGAACTCACAGAGGTCTATCTGCCAGACTCTGTCTCCCAAGTGGTGGGATTAAAGGCTGCACCACCACCACTCTGGTTCTCTCCCACTTGCTCTCTTTCTTTAAAAAAAATAAATAAATAAATAAAAGCAAAAAACAAGAAACACACATAAAACGCTTCACAAAAACAGACACCAAATATACAAGCAGAAGACCAAACAAAACTTCACAAACCAATATGAAACAAAAATTCTAAAAAAAAAAAAAAAACTTAAAGGTTTGAGCTCATTTTATGTTGACTAGCTACTCCTGGGCATGGGGCCTACCCAGAAAGGTGGTTAATGTATCCAGTGAGACTCCACTGGAGAAAACTAATTTTTCCTTTGCAAGCATGTATCAAATGTATTTTGTCGGTGGCTTCTTGGTTAGGGGTGGGGGCTGTATCTTCTTGATTTCTTTGTTGTCTTGTGTCTATATCCCTCTGTCCTGATGGAACCCGATCTAGTCTGAGCCTGTATAAGCCCTGTGTGCGCTGCTACAGTCTGAGTTCATATTTGCATGAGTCCTATTGCACGTGAAAGACAGTTTTTCTTTGGGGTCATCCATCCCCGTGGCCTCTTCTAATTTCTAATTTTCTCTTTGTTTCGCTGCCTCCTCTTCTGCATAGACTCTTGCACCCAGTTAAAAAGTACTTTGAGGCTGGCAGTGGTGGCGCACGCCTTTGATTCCAGCACTTGGGAGGCAGAGGCAAGCAGATCTCTGTGAGTTCTAGGCCAGCCTGGTCTACAAGAGCTGGTTTCAGGAAAGGCTCCAAAAGCTACAGAGAAATCCTGTCTGCTTTAAAGTGCTTCTTTTCTTTGATGGGTGATTCAGTAAATCTTACCGTTTAACCCTGTCTTTCAGGGTTTGTCCATTCTTTTGTTTGCCCACACGTCTGCTGTCATCGGTTCTGATGGCTGGTAATAAAGGAAGAGGACGAGCTGCCTATACCTTTAATATTGAGGCTGTTGGCTTCAGCAGAGGGGATAAGTTGCCTGATGTCGTGTTGAAGCCACCACCACTGTTTCCTGTAAGTGTAACGACAGCTTGCTTTTCACAATGTATTTTTGCATATTTTAGGGGTTTAGGGCTTGAATACACACTAGTGTCACGATATCCTCGTGTCTAAGGATAAAAGACTATGTTGCATCTATCTTGTACTCAAACAACTGGTTTTGCTTAGAACCTGTCCGAGTTTTCAGACTGATTTTTTAAAATACAGAAAGCAAAACTATATATACCTTTCCATAAACACAATGAGTACAGTGTGAACTAAGAATTATTCTACTGTGTTATTAATATATTCTAATTGCTAAAATAATATTTTAAGTACTTTTATGATGTGTACAATGATTTTCTTCATATTTTGTATTTGTAGAAAACAATTTTGCTGCCGGGCGGTGGTGGCGCACGCCTTTAATCCCAGCACTCGGGAGGCAGAGGCAGGCGGATCTCTGTGAGTTCGAGACCAGCCTGGTCTACAAGAGCTAGTTCCAGGACAGGCTCCAAAACCACAGAGAAACCCTGTCTCGAAAAACCAAAAAAAAAAAAAAAAAAAGAAAACAATTTTGCCCCTTATTATTATACCACTTTTGTCTCATTCAAGTTTATTGCTGTTGTATCTTTGCTTTATTGCAGTCTCTTTGGATTTTGCTACTTTCTCGGAACAGAAACATTTCTACTACTTTAGGGATTGCTTCTAAATTTAACAACATAAACTGGGCGGCAGTGGTGATGCACGCCTTTAATCCCAGCACTCGGGAGGCAGAGGCAGGTGGATCTCTGTGAGTTCGAGGCCAGCCTGGTCTATAAGAGCTAGTTCCAGGACAGCCTCTAAAGCTACAGAGAAACCCTATCTCGGAAACAAAAACAAAACAAACAAACAACATAATGGCTGATGTCTGATTGAAAGCAGTGGCTTACATTTTCAGATGTGTGTATGCTGCTGCTCAAAGCAGACCAACCAGAGATGCTCTTAGTAATTCCCTGCATTAACCTTTCCTGTTTTAGATGGAGAAGTCCTTTCTTGAAGGACTTATGGTGTAGAGAACCCTGGATAGGTGGATCCTTGTTCTAGACACTCACAGAAACAGATACTTTTTAAAAATAATATTAAATATTTTAGATTTTTGAGAATTGTATGTGTGAATACTGTACTTAAATCATTTTCACTCCTCCAGCTCCTCCCATATTTCTCCTAATTCCCTCTCAAATTCGTTACTCTGCTATAAATATTATTGTTACACATATACACTTTCTGTGCACAATAATATATATATAACATGTTTACATACACACACAGCCTCCTGGATCCATTTAGTATTGCTTGTATGTACATGGGTTAGGACTGACTACTAGATATTAGATAACCTAGTAGAAGCCTTGTTCTTGGAGAAAACTGGTTTTCCCTCTCTCTGCAGCGATTGGAGACTATAGCTCTTTATCTAGAGCTGGGGATGGCCAGCTTTGGAATTCCCCCACCCAGCTTGGCATGTCAGCTGCTGTTGACATTGTGTGGAGCTGTCTTGACCCACCATACTGCTGAGATTTCAGGGATTCGACTTCTGCCCTCTCTGGAAGACACTGTCTTGCATCCCATGATCTAACTGGCTCTTGAATCGGCCCCCTCACTCGGTGTGATGTCCTCTGAGGCTAGACGTAGAGTTTGTGTTTTTGGTGTACCAGATGGGCACCTGTGGTCTCTCACACTGCATTTTGACCAGTGGTGGATCGTTGTAAGCACCTCTGTGTGCTGCAGAGAGGAGCTTCTGTGGGAAGAGCTACATTCACTTGTGGGTGTCAGGATTTTTGTATTTAGAATACAGTTACAAATTATATTAGTCAAGGGAACTGACTGTAGTAGGTTTTCTCTAGGGTCACGGACCTCCTCAGCCTTGAATAGTTGGCTAGGTTTGCAGTGTCAGGGATGAATTTCCTTCTGCTGAATGGGCCTTACGTCCGGTTGGACAACTGTTGGTCAGCCCCAAGTTAACAGTGCTACTCCTACAGCATTGAGGATATCCTTCTGCCGGGCCAGTCATTGTTGTTCATGTTGTTCATCTGGGTAGGACTGCTGATGGCCGTTCTCCTTTGCCAGGTCTCATGGCACCCTCCAGTACCGCAGGAGCAAATCCTCGGGCAGGGGCTTCCAGGTGGTGTCCTCAGCACCTTAAAGTTCTGGGAGGCAATGAAGGCAGTGGCACAGTAGCCTATGTTGTTTTGAGAGTGTCTTGGACACCCCGACCAGTGACTCAAAGAGGCTAACCCACACCTAACACTGGGTCTTTTTAGTCCATGGCTCTTGTGGGGAATATTTTGTCCTGCATACTGTAACTCCAGCACACACATGCATAATAATAATGGTTCCTCGTGGCTTTTCCCAGCATCCTTAGTGTCATTTATCTCTCCCTTCCCCTCTCCCTCTATAGCACCCTCTCTTCTCTCCCTAGGTGAAGGAACACCTTCCCCTTTATAGCACCTGTGTCCTGTTATGCTTTTTGCTCTTCATATTTTATTTTTAATATTCATCATGGCTTGAAAACAGAGAAAAGTATCTTAGGTGTAGGCCTAATATCTCAGTACAGTGACTAACTTCAAAATAAGGCTACTGGGTGTGAGATTAGCTCTAAGCACTGGGAAGGTTAGCATATGGCATCATTTTCTTCTGGCCGGAAGGCTGTGCCTGCCCTTGCCTTCCTCATGTCCCAGCCTTTCTTATCACTGTCTTTCTCAAGTACCAACTGGGCTGGACCCCTTCCCCTCTGGAATCCCTATCTGTAACAATCTATTTTCTTTGCATGAGTAGCTGATTGATTTTGTCCATATCTCTGTCCAACTATGACTTCCCCAAGAAGTTGTGCCTGCTTACCCTGTGCAGATTAGCCACCACCAGCCCCGTGTCATGTCCTCTGCTCTCTTTGTATTTGTTTTTATGGTCTGAAACTTATTGTACCTCTTGTGTATTTAATTGTGTCTTCCTTCCTCAGGACGTAAGTTCTGTTGTCTCGTATACAGTAGTTGCCCAAGAAATAGTTTTGAAAGCCTGAATAGATTCAGAATCCATCTTTGGAGACATACTGTATCTTTATCCTCTCAAACCGTGTGCATCTTTATCATGTATGCTGGGGGCCACTTCATAATGAATGTATACATTTGATCATATTTTCACACCAGCACATGCATGTAAATATTGTATTACAGAATCTTTTTCCTACCTCTGAAATAAAAGTGAAGTAGGAAATGGGCTAAAGAGTTAGATCATAGAAGTTCAACGTCTTTATTATTTTGTTTTCTTTAAAATGAGACAGTTTACATTGTTTCCTGTGCTGTCCTGGGACTCACTCTGTAGCCCAGGTTGGCCTTGAGTTGGAAGCAGTATTCTGCCCTAGCCTCCCAAGTGCCAAGATAACCAGAGTGACCAACTCCACCTGGCTAGACATACGCTCAGTAGTTTTTTTAGTTGATGGTAAAGTTTAGCTCTCATGGAGCGTAGTCTTTCAATAAGAGCAACATTATCTAGAATGTGGATAAAAAATACTAAAATTCTTAGTTTATTTAAATAGGCTTTGTCTCCTAATTTAAATAGGATACAGATTACAAGCCAGTGCCCCTGAAAACAGGAGAGGATGAAGATTACATGTTGGCCTTGAAGCAGGAGTTGCGAGAAACAGTGAAACGAATGCCTTATTTTATTGAAGCACCTGAAGAAAAGCAAGGTACGTATCGGGCTCCTCGTGAGGCTGTTTGCTGCTAATAGATGACACCTAATTAAAAATTGACTTAACAGAGATCTCAGAAAGGACATTTATATCTTACTGTATTTTCCTCTTCCAAGAGTTTCTCTGTGCAAACTTGTTCATAATACTCTGTCTTCTCTTTATAATGCAATATCAGCCTTTTACAACGGTAGCAGTCTTAGACAATATGGCCTAATGGTTATGTTATTCCATTATGTGGATAAAACACTAATTATTACTACTTCCTGCTGTCAGAATGAAGTGTTTCTTCCTTATTTATTTATGTATGTGTTTGTTTTTGCCTAGCAGTGCAATGCTATGATTGTTGCCACTGTACATAACTTTTTAATGGATGTCTCTGATTATTGACAGTTTAGGCTAAAAAATACCTGATGTTTGCTTTATTTCTTATATCCTGATGACATAAAATATCAAATGTGTGTTTATTCTTGATGCCGAGGGCACAGAGGAGGAATTGCACTGTGAGAAGGCACAGCCGTCTTAGACTAGAAATGGGAAGTGGTTTTGGAGGAAGTGAGCTTGCTTATGAGCACCTCCTAAGCACAATAAAGGTGTATTGATTGCTGGAGAGATCAATATCGTCTTTGGGTTCTTAAAACAACATCATTAAGCCATGAGAAATTCGTATAGTATCAGCTTATGCCATTAGTGTTAAAGCTGCTTTCTCTCTCTCTCTTTTTCTTTCCTAGAAATTTATATTAGTTGAGTCAAAAAGGAAATGTATAGATGATGTTATTGTAGCACCAATTCTAATTGGTCCTAATATTAAAAACCCAGTGTCGGTATTAGGGAGTGAAAGCTGAAAGATCAGAGAAACAGAGCAGTCAGCCACTAGTTCTTACCTCTACAAAGTCCTCACACTGAATGGGAGGTCCTGTCTCTACAAGTCCTTACACTGAATGCCTGAGCTCATGTCTCCTCCCACCTCATATTCCTCTCTCCACCCAGCCATGTCTCTGTTTTCCTTCTGCTGAGATTAAAGGCATGTGATTCCCAAGTACTGGGATTAAACGTGTGAGCCACCACTACCTGGCTCTGTTTCTCTTTTAGACTAGATCAATCTCACGGTAGCCAAGGATGGCCTTGAACTCACAGAGCCGTCGGCTGCCTCTGCCTCCTGAGTGCTGTATTAAAGGAGTGCCCACCACTGCCTGGCTTCTGTGGCTAACTAGTGGCCTAGCTCTGTACTCTGATCTTCAGGCAAGCTTTATTTGTTGGATCACAAGTAAAATATCACCATTTGTTACTACATATCTTTATAAGAAGCACATTGGACAAGTTTTATTTTGGTGACTTATCTGCTTGAGTGTATATAATAGTTTGATAAATGTTACCTCAATAATAGAGATTTATTTCTTACTTTCTTGATTCGGTTGTATTCTTTTGTCTGGCTTTAAAAATAAAATTAGATTTTATTTTTTTTAAAAATAACTAATACCTATTTTGTTTTGAAAATTAGCAATGCATGATATACTTCAATCCTATTAAAATTTGACTTTTCTTTAGATAAGAGACATGTTTAGCTAATGGGATATGTGATTATTAAAATGCATGCCTAACTGAAAAGCATATCAGCTCATTCAAACAGTTAGTTTTATGAGTCTTTTAGGAGAGGTTCATTGTCTTAGTTACTGTTCTGTCGCTGTGAGAAGACACCAGAAGCAAGGTCACTTACAAGAAAGCATTTTATTATGGGCTTGCTTATAGTTTCAGAGAGTTTGGCCATGATCAGTGTGGTGGTAGCCAATCAGGTACAGTGCTGGAGCAGTAGCTGAGAGCTCACTTTCTCCAACAAGGTCACACCTCCTAATCCTTTCCAGAGTTCCACCACCTGGAGACCAAGCCTTCAAACCTGTGGGCCTGTTGGGCCATTCACATCCAAACCACCACAGTCATTAAGAACAGGTTATTAGTCTGTGGGAGTGAATGGTTTGAATCAGGACCAAGGGGTACTTTATTCTTGGTAACTATGTAATAAAACATAAAAAGATTCATACTTACTTGCTTAATCCCATAAGAAAATTCTATATAGGATTTTTCCAAATTGATAGAAATAAAGCTTTCTATATCGTCCGATCCACTTCTCTTTCCTGATATGGTACGCTTTTAAAAGCACTGCAGTTCAAGTGCAGTTTTAAATAAGATGCATTCGTGTGTGTGTAGGAGCACACACAGCACATCAATCTCCTCTCTGTTCATGTTCCAAGACCCCAGAGGATGCCTGAAACCACAGCTAGCACCTAACGCTGTGTGCCAGCACGGTGGTTCTGCCATTGATAACTGAGCGTATGACATAGGATGCTGGAGAAAGGCATGAGTCAAAGAACATACTATGTATCTTTCCATTTCTAGTAATCTGCATTCTGCCATGTGGTTTTGCCTCTCTTATCATCTTGCACCCCTGTTTTCTCTCTGTGTCTCCTCTTACTCCCCGCTCCTTCCCAGTGTCCTTAGTCTGTTTTTTACACCTAACTTTATCCTGCCCAGCTATTGGCTAGTCAACTTCTTTATTAAACCAATCACAGCCTAATTTACACAATGTACAGAATGATTATTCTACAGCATGCATCTCTTAGTTTTACTTTTATGTCAATCAAAGTATTACACCAGGGATTATTTTTGTGTGTTTCATTGGTTTTTTTTGTTTTGTTTTGTGTTTTTGAAATATGATCTCATTATGTATCTCTGACTTGCTATATTGACCAAGATGGCCTCAGACTCACAGAACTCTACCATCTTTCTCCCAAGTGCTGTAGCTAAAGACATGCACTACCATATCATCAGTTTTAAAGAAAATATGAAAGAAATTTCATATTTTCATCTTTTGCAGAAACTTTCATCTTTTTATTTTAACACCCATTGAATAAAATTTATTTCAAAATTTTGCTTTCTCTTAGTAAAGCTGAGAAGAATAAAAGTTACATAGGAAGATGTCTTACAATAGTAGATGAGTCAGAAGTGAGTGCTCAGATGGGTGGAAGCCCCTTGGACCTGATGGTAGGCAAAGTGTCTGAGCAGAATCACAGACTGAGTCTTCAGGTGACAAGACCTCAGGTGGATTATTTCAGATATAAAAATCATTGAATATAACAGTTTAATTCTTTAGGAATTAAAGAGAAAATATGCCTTCCTTATGGAGTAAATCTTTTTTTTTTCATTTTTTTATTGAAAAAAGGAGAAAAAAAAAAACAAGTTTCCACCTCCTCCCAGCCTCCCATTTCCCTCCCCCTCCTCCCCCCCTTCTCCCCCTCCTCCCACCCTTCTCCCCCTCCCCCCACTCCTCTCCCTCTCCCTCTCCAGTCCAAAGAGCAGTCAGGGTTCCCTGCCCTGTGGTAAGACCTAGGTCCTCCCCTCTCCGTCCATTTCTAGGAAGGTGAACATCCAAACTGGCTAGGCTCCCACAAAGCCAGCACATTACGTAGGTTCAAAACCCCGTGCCATTGTCCTTGGGTTCTCATCAGCCCTCATTGTTGGCCATGCTCAGAGAGTCCAGTTTTATCCCATGCTTTTTCAGTCACAGTCCAGCTGGCCTTGGTGAGCTCCCAATAGATCAGCTCCACTGTCTCAGTGGGTGGGTGCACCCCTCGTGGTCCCGACTTCTTTGCTCATGTTCTTCCTCCTTCTGCTCCTCATTGGGACCTTGGGAGCTCAGTCCAGTGCTCCAGAGTGGGTCTCTGTCTCTATCTCCATCCATCACCAGATGAAGGTTCTATGATGATATGCAAGATATTCGTCAGTATTGCTATAGGATAGGGTCATTTCAGGTTCCCTATCCTCAACTGCCCAAGGAACTAACTGGGGACCTTGGCTTGGGCATCTGGGAGCCACTCTAGGTTCAAGTCTCTTGCCAACTCTAAGGTGGCTCCCTTAACTAAGAATTGTGCTTCCGTGCTCCCCTATCCAACCTTCCTTTATCCCAATCCTCCTTTTTCCCCAAGTTTCCCCCATTCTCCCCTTCTCCCTTTTCTCTCCCCATCTCCCCTTACCCCCATTCCACCCCACCCCCAAGATCTCAATTTTCTCCCCGGCCATTTTGTCTACTTCCCATGATGAAGAAAGTGTGGAATATCTACACATTAGAGTACTACGCTGCGGTAAAAAACAATGACTTCGCGGATTTTGCATGCAAATGGATGGAAATAGAAAACACTATCCTGAGTGAGGTAACCCAGACCCAAAAAGATGAATATGGGATGTACTCACTCATAATTGGTTTCTAGCCATAAACAAGGGTCACGGAGTCTACAATTGGTGATCCCAAAGAAGCTAAGTAAGAAAGTGAACCAAAGGAAAAACATATAGTTGTCCTCTTGGCTATGGAGTAAATCTTTAAGAAGGATACATATCATCAGAGAATTTATAGTAAGTTGATTATCTTGTTCATTTAAATACATGTGACCTTATTTTTTCTTTTTGATGTTTATGCACCAAAATTTATCCTCTGATTTGTAAATGGAGAAATGCTGAAGTCAAAACCAAAGACAGAGACAGTGAGCAAACAGAAGTAGATTATATGCAATTTTTAAAAGTATTGGTCACTCGTGGGTGTCATTTTAAGTAAAAAAAAAAAAAAAGGAGAAGAAGAAGAAGAAGAAGAAGAAGAAGAAGAAGAAGAAGACGACAATAGACATCATAGACATCATTCCTCATTTATTAAAAGTGTGAGCCATCAAAGTCCTTTGGGATTTTTTGTTTGTTTATTTGTTGCTGTTGTTGTTGTTATTTGGTCTTTTGAGACAGGGTTTCTTTGTGCAACAGTCCCGCCTGTTCTAGAACTCACTTTGTAAACCATACTGGTCTCGAACTCAGAGATCTCAAGGAGTTTCACAAGAAGACCAAACTATCCATATATAGAAGGCCTAGGTCAGCCCCATTAGGCTCCCTAGCTAATGGTCCAGAGTCTGCGTGCTCCTGAGCTCAGGTTAGCTGTTTCTGTTGTCCCCTAGTGATGACCTTGACCCCTTTGGTTTGAACGATCTGATCTTTCCTCTTTTCAGCAGAATCCTGGAGCTCAGCCCAGTGCTTGGCTATGGGTGCATCAGTTACTGGATGGAGGCTCTCTGATGACAATTAGAGTTGTCACCAATTTGATTACAGGAGATGACCAGTTCAGGCTGCCTATCCACTATTGCTAGGAGTCTGAGCTGGGGTTGTCCTTGTAAATTTCTGGGAGTTTCTTTTGCACTAGGTTTCTGCCTCACCCCCAAATCCCCCCATAACCTCTTTTAGTATCCTCTCCTTTATCCACTCCCAGACCATATCTCTCCTCTTCCTATCCCCACCTGCCCCCAGGAGATCTCTTCTATTTCCCCTTCCTAGGGAAATCCTTGAGTCCCTACTCCCCCTCACCCCCTGCTTTGGGCTCTCCTCTCTGGGTCTGTGGATTGTAGCCTGGTTATCCTTTACAGCTAATATCCATTTATGAGTGAGTACATACCATGCTTGTCTTTCTGGGCTTGGGTTACCTCACTCAGGATGATTTTTCTTTTTGTGCTATTCATTTGTCTTCAGGTCTCCTCGTGCCATTGTTTTCAACAGCTGAGTAATCCTCCCTTGTACAGTTGTACCACGTTTCTTTATCCGTTCTTCAGTTGAAAGGTTTCCAGGTTCTGGCTATTATGAATAACATGCTATGAACATAGTTGAGTAAGTGACCTTGTGGTATGAGTGTGCATCCTTTGGGTATATGCCCAAGAGTGGTATTGCTGGGTTTTGAGATAGGTTGATTCCCAATTTTCAGAGAAACCACCATTTTGATTTCCAAAGTAGCTGTACAAGTGTGCCCTCCCACCAGCCATGGAGGAGTACTCCCCTTACTCCACATCCTCTCCAGCGTAAGCTGTCATCAGTGTTTTTGATCTTAGCCATTCTGACAGGTGTAAAATGGAACCTCAGAGTCATTTTGATTTGTGTTTCTCTGATAGCTAAGAGTGTTGAACATCTCCTTAAGTATTACTCTGTCATTTGAGAGTCTTTTCTTGAGAATTCTGTGTAGATCTGTACTTCGTTTTTAACTGGATTATTTGGATTAAGTTTTTATACATTTTGTTTTTTCTCTTCCCCTACTCCTCCCAGCCCCTCACCACTTCTCTGTCTTCTCAACGTTATGTTCTTTCTTTCTCCCTCTCACAAAACCCCCAACAACCAAGAAACCAAACCAAACTAAAGCCAAACAAGGCAAGAAACAGAAAAACTCCCACAAAGACACAAAAGAATAATTATAATAAACAGGTGAAAGATCAGTAAGACCAAAAATGTTAAAACAAAACAGTATACAGAAGTACCAATGAGAACATTTTGTTTTGCCAGCCACTCCTGGGTATGGGGCCTGCCTTGGAGTAGGGTTCATATACCTAGTGAGACTCCACAGGAGAAAATTGATTTTTCCCTTTGCTAGTAGGTAGCAATTGTGAATATTTTCTTGGTTCAGGCTGGGATCCTATGTCCACTTCCCACTCTTCAGCCTGGAACCCCATGTGTTTTGAACCTGTCTAGGCTCTGCGTGTGCTGCCACAGTCTGTGAGTTCATACATGCACCAGTCTGCTCTGTCTGGAAGACATTGTTTGCTCGGAGTCATTCACCACCTCTGGTTCTTCCAATCTTTCTGTTCTTTTCCTTATCTTTATCTGAGCTGAGGGCAGATGCTGAAGACATCCCAGTCAGGACTGAGGCTCCAAAGTATGTGTTTCTGTGTGTGTGTGTGTGTGTGTGTGTGTGTGTGTGTGTGTCTGTGTATGTGTGTGCATGTGTCTGTGTGTGTCTGTGTGTCTGTGCACGCATCCCTGTCCGTCTCTGGCTTTCACATTATCCAATTATGGGTCTTTGTGCTGTTTCTTATATAGTTCAAGAAGAGCCTTTTCTGGTGTGGGTTGAGTGAGGCTCTGATCTGTGGGTATAGCAGTATGTCATTACAGTCAGTTTCCTGCAGTCTGAGCTCATTATGGTGAGCCATGCTTTCAAACGTCTGTGCTATGGCTCTCTTTACCAACTTGTGTTGCTTGTGGGCAGGCTAGGGCTATTAAAAGCATTGTGTGGCAAAGCTGACAAATTAGAAGCAGGACACAGCCATGGCTCCGCTGACGCTGGCAAGTTCCGATGGTATCTGTAGGGCTTCTTTTAGTGCTTTGTGGAAGGCTCAGAGTCGCTACACTTCATTCTCCGAACAGGTAGCCTCGCGCTGTGCCCAGCTTTCCTTTCTCTACCCTTCTTCCCCTTGTGAAAAGTTGCCCATTCAGGAACCTCGCAACCTGATTCTGCATATATGAAATGCTGGAGGTGAGCCATTAGCCCTGCCGATAGTTAGACCAAGTTTAAATACGGGGGCTGGAGGCCAGTAGCACAGGCACATAGAAGATGCTGAGTGTCCGGGAATGGCCTCCTAATTCCAAGCTAGGCAGGTTGTCTCGTTTCGAGAGCCAGGTTCAAGATTGGCATCTCTCCTTAGCCCGCCGTGGCTCTTGCCATATTTGTAACCATGTTATTCCAATTGAATTTGTCAATGTTGGTTCTGTTACATATGTAATTTACAAATGTAAGAAATATAGGAAAATAAAAGACTGGTGATTTAAGTTATTTTGAAGAATGGCGTATGTTTTTATGTTTCTAATAATTGCTTTTTCTTTTGTCACCCTAGATGATATTGAAAGGTACAGTAAAAGATATATGAAGATATACAAAGAGGAATGGATCCCAGGTACTGTAAAACAGACCATGTTAAAATACTTTTTCAAAAGAGTCATCCTACTTTATTTATGTATGTATCTGTGTGTGTGCCATGTTTGTGAGGGTGCCCGCAGAGGCAGGAAGGAGTCAGATGTCCTGGAGCTGGTGTCACAGGACTTCTGGGTGCTTGTGAGCCTCCTGGCGTGGCTTGAAACCGAACTTTGGATGGGAAGCAAGTGCTCTTAACTACTGAGCCATCTCTCCAGCCCCTTAAAGTACTTCTTAAAGACCACAAAAAATATATTAAGTTCTTAGGTGTTTTCTTTGTTTTTAACTGAAGGAAAGTAGAGTCTTTTTCCCCTTCTGTAATTAATTAGTAATGAAAATCATTTGGAAACTAAGACCCTGATACTGTAACAAGAATATCCTGAAATGTGTTTTGTAGTGTGTATATATGTGTGCATAATATACATAGAAAATATATGTTATGTATATATAGTATACACATAAAATATATACTATGCATGCATATATACCTACATATATACACACACATATATATTCATATATAAAAAATAGAACTTACCAGCTAGATTTTCATTAGCCACAATCACAATTTTTATTTGTAATACCAGGAAGTACTTGGTTTAGAGTGTTCTTGTTTGTTGAGACAGCATTTACCCTATGTAGTCCCTGTCAGCCTAGAACTCCTGATCCTCCTGCCTCAGCTCCCTGAGTGCTCTCCCTGCAGTGCTTTACCACACCAGCCCAGCCTTTTGGATTTTCGGTTTTTTGCCCTGTTTTGTTGACAGGGTCTCGTGTATCCCAGGCGACCTTTGACCTTCTGTGTCTGCCCCTGGCCTGGTTTATCTCAGACAGTTTAGTGTGGTGCTGGGTGCTGATTTAAATGTTCCTCCATGGTCTATGAGTACCCTCACCAAATGAGGTTCCTAACGTGTTCCGGCTTTGAGACTTTTTTTTTTTTTGGTTTTTTCGAGACAGGGTTTCTCTGTGGTTTTGGAGCCTGTCCTGGAACTAGCTCTTGTAGACCAGGCTGGTCTCGAACTCACAGAGATCCGCCTGCCTCTGCCTCCCGAGTGCTGGGATTAAAGGCGTGCGCCACCACCGCCCGGCCCGGCTTTGAGACTTTTTAAGGAGAAAGTAAACACCCAACCTGAAGGGTATTTTAACCCAAACTCACGAGTCTTTCTGTTATTTGAGGGGATGTTTTAGCTGCTAGCATCCTGTTTCAATAGAAACATGCCTAATGGCTTGTCTTAGCTTTCTGAAGTATCACAATCAACAGGATGGAGAGGGCTTTAGAAGAAACGTCATTCAATCAGACGATTTTGTAAACAGAAAACAGTTGCCATAAAATTGGAATAACATGCCATGGCCTCTTACACAGACCTCAGTCACTCAGGCCTTCGTCCTTCGGTATCTCCTAGAGTAGTGTTTATGGAAACTGCACTCAGGAGGTGTGCCGATGTCCTCCGCTGCATCACTGATTTCCCGAGCAGAGTGCACGCTTTACTGGTTGAGCTTAAGATGTGGGACGAGGGTGGAAACCTTCTCCCAAATCATTCTTTTTGCATGCTTTCTTGTGGTCTGGGTGGTTTCAAATTAAAATATATTCAAAACAGAATTTATCACTGCAGGTAGGATGATGAAAGTTTGTACAGATACACTGACATTTCTTTATTAGCAGACAGTTTCTTTACATCTTTTTTGAATGTTTCAAATGTTTTAATATATTTGTGTATTTGTGTTGTGTGTGCGTGTTTACACCATGTGTGTCTAGGTGACATAGGAGGCTGTATAGGGCATCAGAGTTACAGATGTCTGTGAGCAACCCAGCGTGGGTGCTAGAAACTCAACTCAGGTCCTCTGGGAAAACAGGAAGTGCTCTTACCACTGAACCATCTCTCTAGCACCTATACATCTGTATTCATATAGCTTTAGTTTTATATTTACTACTATTATTAAAAATGAAAAACGAGCCAGTTGTGGTGGCGCACACTGGTAGACTTTGCTGAAGGAGACAGAGGCAGGAGGATCACAAGTTCGAGGCCAGCCTGGGCTACACATTTTAAAAAAAAATTTAAAAACGGGGTTAAGGATTGTAAAATACTTGCCTAGCACATTTGAGGTCCTATGAAGCCTCAAGTTCAGTTTCTAGCACCATCCACAAAATTAAAAGAAAGTTGATAATTAAAGGAATTATTTAGTTAGTGCAGCTGAAAGTCATTTATTGGAGAGAATTTACATGTTTTCAAATATTGTTAAAATTTACTTTGTATGTATTGAGTTGACTGCATCCCTTAACTTTTGAAAAAATGCTACTATATATATATATTAACAGATAACTTACAAAATACAAAGTAGTCAGATAATGTTTAACAAAGACCGTTGTGACCTTGGTATTAACATTCACAAGGAATTTCCATGAGATTTCTTTCCAGGACACTTTATATCAACATTTCCTAGCTGTTTGATGCACTCCTTTCCTTTACAGGAGAAACTGTTGCTGTCCGTTCTGTTTGTATTTGTTTTGTTATGTTCCAGACTCACTCTGTACGACCAGTGTTATGTTCCAGACTCACTCTGTACGACCAGACACTAAGGGATTTTCCTGTCTTGGCTTGAGCAGCTGCCATCATGTTCTTTTTAATAATTAAGTCCAAAGCCACCAAGGAAACTCAGATTTTTCTATTCTTTCTTTTGTACGCATAGACTGGAGAAGACTTCCCCGAGAGATGATGCCAAGGAAAAAAGGCAGAAAAGGTACACCGACTAACTGTAGTCCAGGGTGGAAAGGGTTATTGCTTACACTCAGCACTGTAAGATCTTTTCCTGAAGTATGCCTGGCATTGCATGGTTTCAGCGGAGCCTGGTTGCTGTTGATGTTTTGGACCTTCTGTTTCTTGAATTAATCTCAACAGTTGTTGGCTGTTGCGGGGAGGAGCATCAGTTTTCTTTAAGGATGTGGCCACTGGTAGGCGACAGATGAATCAGTGGATTATTGAAGAAAAAGAAGATATGAAGTCAGGAAGGAGAATGCAAGTGGATTTGGGAAGAGTTAGTAGGAGAAGAGGATGAATAGGAACAAAAATACTCTCTATACATGTATGAAGTTCCCAAAGGGTTAATGAACTATTTATCAGTAAAAAGAAAGGCATAACTGAACTAGGAAAAATTGAAGAGGTGATCAAAGAGAATTTTATGTTAAAGAGGCACCAAAGTGACCGGGTGGTGGTGGTTCATGTCTTTAATCCTAGCACTTGGGAGATAGACAGGTGTATCTCAGTGAGTTCTAGGCCAGCCTGATCTACAAAGTAAAATTCAGGACAGCCAGGATTGTTATACAGAGAAACCCTGTCTCGACAAGCCAAAAAAGATACCAACGTGTATATTTTATATCTGTTCTTTAGTAATTCCAGTCAATAAATAATAGAATGTTTGCTATTGCCAGACAGTGCGCCATGGCGAACAGAGTCCATGATGTAGGTGGGCCTGCTTTTGCCTCTTGGTGCTTGCAGTTCGGTGGAGGTAAAACATCAAAGGACAAACGTCTCAATCAGTAATAAAGTGCTTGCTGCTTATGCATGGGATCTGAGTTCAGTTCTCCATCACACACCAAAAGTTCAGCACTGCTGCTGGCCCCTGTAAAGCCCCCTTGAGCTCTAGGATCAGTGAGACACTCTACAAAATAAGATGGCACACTGTTGAGGAAGACACCCAGTGACTGTTGGCCTCCGAGTGATCGATCTCCCATGGGCATGCACACTCACACACAAACAGCACATGAAACACAACCACATGTCCTTTTGGGAAGGTTTTGAGGATGTGCATCTGGAGTGGCCCCGAAAGATGGTTGGGTGCTTACTGGGGTGTGGAGTGGCAGGGATTTGTAGGAAGACAGGCTTATGGAGGTGGAATCACAAGTTTGGTTCAGATGTGTTGTTATTTGTTGTTGCTTTGAGATACACCTAGAAGAGTGTTGATTGTGCTGGTGGGGTGGGGTGGACTGTGAAGACTGCTCATCAGCACAGGAAGGATGAGAGAGCCAATAAAATAGCCAAAGGGGAAAGTAGAGCATCGAGAGAGAGCAGGGCACAGTCTGAAGATGAAGGAATTACAGATCTTAAAGGAATGGTGGAGAGATTGATCGAGCAGGAAGTGCTCTTAATCACGGAATTTTTCTCAGGCCCGTAGTTCCTAATTTCCTTACTATCAAGAAGAGTCTCAGATTCTATACCACTCTTCTTTCCTTATTTTGGTTTTAATACTTACTTCATGAATACACACTCACATTCAGGGGAGAAGTGCCAAGTCAGCTATATCACAGAAAGACTATTTTTAATCCCTGTTGACATGAAAATTTTCCATAGTTAACATTTTATTTTTTTACATGTGCACATACTTGAACTTGTTTCTTACTGTATCTGTTAGAAGCCGGTTGGGTCTTCACCAAGCCTCTGCCACCCTCCAGCTCTCTGTCACTGTCTGCATTCATGTAGATGGATGGAGGCCATCACAAAACGGGGGGATAAAGCACAGCCACACTACATACAACTGAAAATAGCACAACCTGGTGGGGGAAAGTTAATTCTCAATTTCCTTTCCACCAATGGAAATCCTTGCCAACAGAAGCTGCCACTAGAATTCTGTATAAAGCTCTAATGATTTGCAAAATAGGTGTGTTCTCAGATCTCTGTCTGCTACAGATGGCGGTCCTTTGGGACATGATCGGTATCATTTATGCACTTATGTTTTATCACAAGAACAATGTGTTTAGCTAATGAAAAACCAGAGTGTAAAAGATATAGTACCATGTAAAAATATTTTCCCTTCAAGTTAAATAGACATGCACTTTAAATAAAATAGAAACACTTCCACTTTAAATACATAAGTACACACTTAACGCACACTTCAAATACGTGCTCTTCATTGTACAACCTTTCTAACTATTAAAATGGGCAAGAGGAAGGTCCTCTCTTCCCCCTGTTATCAGTATCGCTGCCTGGCCCATTTCTCTCTTCGTTCTTCATAGGAAGTCTCTTCAAAAAAAAAAAAACTGCATTAATTCAAGAACTAAGGTCAGTGGCTCCTCATTTGGTTTAACGTGATAGACTTTACGTCCACCAGTTGAGCCATCCAGGCAGTCTAAAAGTCCTTCTCTGTGTTAAATGTTCATCTCTAACAGAATGAAGCCTTTCTGAGCCCTATTTCTGCTACCCGGGATTTTTGTTGTTGTTGTTGTAGTATTTAGTTTGATTTTGGCAAAGAACTGTAATCATTCCTCCCCATCATGAAGAAATTTATAACTTATAAAAATTCCTTGGTAATTGGCAGAATCTTCATATGAAATAATCTTCTATTCCTTAGTGTTTTAGAATAATCCAAAAGTGGAATATTTGCTTTGAGTAAAACAAGTTATGGTTCGTAAGGCTGCTGAAACATGCCATTTCGTGTATATGAAGTGACAAGCAAAGCATTTTAGTCTTCCCTGTGAAGACAGTTCTCGTGGCGTTTGAGCGCAAGCTCTTTCCTATCCCTGCACCGTTCGCCTGTGCAGCCGTACCCTGCACTTCTGTTTGCTTCATGCCTGTTGAGATGCACTTGGCTGATGAATGACAGGAAACCCTTGCAGGGCCTCTACTTGTTATTCTAGGGCATCAGTCTGAGGTCACCCTACAGCAGATTCTGTCTCTAGCGATAATAATTCTAAGTCTAACGTTTCAGTACTTAGATAAAACATACCTGGTTGTAGTTGTTAAAAATATCATGCGAAGCGATTGTTATTTGTTTTGAGCTCGGTGAGGTGTGGTGATCCTGTGGGAGGAGCTGAATTTACACCGGAAATGATATGGCTACCTGGTGTGAGGAGAGCTTGGGGACCCCGTTCCTGTGGAAGATCTGTTAACTGCTGGCTATTTCCTTCCAGCAGATCTAAAATCCAGAATGGCCAAAGCTGCAGACAGCGGTGCTTCACTCTCTGCAGATGTGTTGAAAAAAATTGAGGTAAGGTTATAGTTACAAACATGAACTGGAAAAAACATGAAGGGCCATACTTTCTTTACCTGTCAGTCTTATCCTTTTATTAATGTGGAGCTGGCAGAAGAGCGCTTGGTGCTAAGTTAGGTGTGGAGGAAAGAGCTCTCCTGGGGTTGAGCAAACATGGACCCTTGCCTGAGCGTCTCTCCTAAGTTGTCTTTTCTTCTTCCTTGTTAAGCACCACTCCCAATGCCAGGCTTTCTTTTTACTGTGTCCTTAACGCCCCCCTTATATTAGACTGCGGTCTGGGGGAGCACAGAAAAGCATGAACCGCTGGCATGATTAGATGTAATTCTTTAGATAGATCTGGCTTTCCTTTGGTCGATATACATGTTCTCTGCCCCCTCTCCCAAGGGTTTTGCAGTATATATAGAAGACTCTATTGAGAGAAAGCTGGTACTCTATAGAACTTATTTTTCTAGCATTAAACAAAATAAAGTTTAGGTAAGTTCCTTAAAAATGTGTTCTCTCATCCCTGGCCATGTGTTTATTTTCTTTGTTGTGAACTCCTAAACTATGCATTTTTACATACCCTTTCAGAAATATTTTACTCATAAAAAATACAGAACTTTCCCCCCGGAAAGTTTTTTAATCTTTAAAACTTATTTTATTATTTTATGTGTATGAGTGTTTTGCCTGCATGTATATATGTGTATCACATGAGTTCCTGGCGTCTGTGGAGGTCAGAAGCAGGGTTCAGATCCCCTGGGGCCGCTGCAAGAGCAACAGGGCTGAGCTAAGTACCCAGCCTGAATTCCCCCTTCTAATAACAAAGATAGCATGTCACATTTCTGCATTTTTATTTTATTTCTTAATAAAATGCCATAAACGTGGTTTCATATCCAATTGTACAGAGCTCCCTCATTCTCTCATTGGTCGCAGCAATGTTAGAGCGAACCACAGTTGTTTAATAACTTAACTAATCCTCACTGACGAATACTGTGGCTTTATATAAGTATGGCATTTCACATTATAATGGTAAAAATAAAATGGCATCGTTCCCCGAAGGGTGGCAACGGGCAGCAGGCAGCGGACCACAAGGGCAGTGAGTCCCAGGCAGGGAGCCTGCAGCCGTGAGAGACCTCGGTGGGTCAGCCGGTCCCACAAGGAGCCTCCAGCCTCTGCGGGTTATGGAAGGGAAGGGGGAAGGAGAGGGAGGGAGAAGGGGGGATGAAGAGAGAGGAAGAGATAGGCAAAGAGAGAGAGAGAAACAGAGAGAGACAGAAAGGAAGGAGCTCAAGCTGGAAATGGAAGGAAGATCCACTTGTCTCAGCTCTCTGAGCACAGAGGAGGGAGTGGGCAGGGCTTGTCTCTTAAAGGAACAGGACAGACCATTACACACATGAGTAGAGTAGTTTTAGGAAGTAGAACTGTTGGGCAATCATTTTATGTCTCTTATAAAAGAGTTGGTGATTGCCACATTGATCTCCCTGAGGGTTCCACCATGAACCCTGTGCTTGTGTTCATTGATGTTGATAATTACTGCAAGACTGACTGAGAACGTGTACATGCCTAGCCATTTGATGAGCGCTTTATGTGTAGTTTGTCCTTAAGAGCAGACAGGTAGGTTGTTTTATTCCTTACTTACAGAGGAAAGTCGATGGTTCAAAGTGTGTTTTTGTTGACCTCCTTGGCACATACACTTGATGGTAGCTCCTAGTTTTACTAATTTGTTTTTGTACAGTACTTGAGCTAGATGACAATATGTCTAAAATGTAAAATCTGGAAGATCAATGAAGGAATAGTAATAACTGTCAGGTTTAACTAGGTGGAATAATTGGTAGGATTTATGGACTACGAATCCCGCCTGTTGGTAAAGTTTTGAGTTCTAGAAGATGCACATAAAGTGCACACGAAGCAGGCTTTGGCTGTACTTTCTCCAGAGGACACTGTCTGTGGCACACAAGGGAGTCTCCCTGTGTAGATAGTGTCTAAGCTAGACCTGTTCTGGGGCAGCATCTTAACTGTTTCCGAGAGGGGAAGAGCCAAGCAGTTAGCTCTTTGAAAAGAATGAAGTAATGATTCAGAGTCTTTGTCCTTGGGGCCATTGTAAAAGTCATTTGCCTACCTCTCCTGTGGCAGTTGCCTGCCTTGGGTGTATGTGGTATAAAGATAAAGATGAGACTGTTTGCTTGACCTGTTGGATTTGGCAGCCATAGAAATAACAGATCTCTGGTCCTCACAGCACATTGAATGAATGCTCTACTTTCAAAAAAAATAAGCCAGTGGTTCGTTTTGTAAAACAGTTTTGTTTCTAATTGTTAGTGACTTTTTTCAGATAACAGAATATACTTTTTACAGAGTAAAATAATTATAGCATTTCCCCTCCAGTATAATTGAATTTAGTGGTAGGCCTTCTTACTTATGATCTGGTTAAAACAGAAAAGACACAATACCGTTTATTAACAAATATTAATATAGCATCGTGTGTGTGTCTCAGATGTTTCAGAAGTTTGAAAATTTTGTTTGCTTGGGATTTCATAACATTGTTGTAGTAACTGCCAAGGCCACACAAGGTTTGTTATCAGGGTAAATCGCCCTGTGAGTGTGCCGGTCTTGGTTTTAGTTTGTTCTGCCTGCGTGAGGTGTATTGTAGCTTGAAATGTATTTAGAGATGGAATATTAGGAGCTTGAGAGACGGCCCCGTAGTTAAAGCTCTCACAGTGGACTGGAGCTCTGAGCCCCAGCATGCTCATAAAGCCAGGGGGCCTGCAGTTACGACCGAGAGAAGGGATCCCTAAGGCAAGCAGTAGGCTGGCAAAACTAGCCAGAACTGTTTTAATAAATTAAATGGAGAGTGAGAAAGATATCCAGTGTCAATTTCCAGTCCCCACAAGCAAGTCCACACACATGCATGCATCCACACACACACACACAGTCATTCAAAATTAATACATTTAAACTGGGTCTGTTTAAAGTTGTCTTTTCTTTCTTTGCCTTTGAACTTCTTCCTTTAAAGTTGGAATTAAAAGAATTTTTTAATATTCAGGGAGTTAAAGAAGAGCTAAGTTGTAGATCCTCTGGATATAAAATATGTATTCTGTTCATGAATAATCAATCAGCAAAGTTGATTATTTTACTAATTCCTCTTCTAATTACTGTGTTAAGACAAACCTGAAATTAACTCATGTGAAGCCTTAATTATGAATATGCAAAATGATTATTGTGCCCGCCTCACAGAAAACCTGTGAAGTTCTGTCCCTTGTGTAAAGTGAGAGTCATCCAACTTAGGGAACTGACAGTGACAGTCATAAAAATGGGTCACCTTTGTCGATTAAAAAAATAATTGGTAATAATGACGCATTTGTAAAATTAAAATGGTGAGCTGGTGGCATGGTGGTTTTTCAAGTAGAAAACAAGAACCATCCAGCAGTCATGGCTTCCCAACTCTGTCTCTTCCTTATTTCTAGAATTGTGCATAACAGCTGGTGTGGTTAGTGATGTGTGTTTTAATCTCTTTTTCCCAGCCTTCCAGATGTATCACGAAACAGAAATTTTTGGGAATGGGAAGTAATGAAAGACAAAGGAAATAGGAAGGGGGATAAACTAAATTCTGTCCCACATTTTCAGAGGAATAGGAATAGGAATCATGAAAAAAGGCTTTGTGGGTTAGAATTCTAACCCCAGCTTAATTAACAGAACTGAAGAATGGGCAGTGCAGTGACTCCGTTTCTGAGGTGGGAGACTCTCCATGGGAATTAATGAATCTCACTTTATCAGGAACTAGAAAAGAGAGGCGATGGTGAAAAATCGGATGAGGAAAATGAAGACAAAGAAGGGAGCAAAAAGAAAGATGGTGACGACGAAGATGGCGAAGACTCAGAGCAGGAGGAGTACGATGAAGAGGAGCAAGAGGAGGTAAAATCTGCTGAAAAGATGGCTGCTAACTGCTTCATATGGCATAATACATCAGTTGGCAAACAAAATCGCGCCTGTAAGCCTAGCAAACTCCTGAATGAGGCGGAGGGGTGTGAGGAGCTAGGCCTACATGGTAAGGCTTTGTCACAAAACAAAAACCCAAGTTTATAGATCCAAAAATTCATTTTTTTTTTCTAGAAAGGTTTTCTCTATAGCTCTAGAGCCTGTCCTAGAACTCGCTCTGTGTACCAGGCTGGCCTCGAACTCAGGAAGATCCACCAGCCTCTGCCTCCCTAGTGATAGGATTAATTTAAACACATGCACCACCATGGCCAAGCTGCATATAATGGATTTTACTCTGAGAAGTATGCTTGGTTTTTGCTTGGTCATGAGACTATGAGGAGAAGAGATGACTGTTCCTTCATGGAAATTATTCTGCAGAGGAAACAAACAAAAAGGCAATTGTTACTGAAACTACCTGGTCCGAGTGAGAAGGAAACAAGGAACATGCAACGGACCGGCTTAGGAGTTTATTAGAGAGAGGAAGATGGCGCGTCCAGCTTTTAAAGGCTGCCTAGCGCATGCGCACAGGGAGTAGACTTGGCCACGTCATACGCAGGTGACGGGGCCCACACATGCCCGCAAGGGCTTAGCTGAGTCATACGTGTATGATATGATCCATACATGCGTGCAAGGGTTTAGCTGAGTCATGATGTCATCCACGGCTCATGTAGGGCCCTTTCACATCCCAGGGCGCCATTAGGCACTTCTGCCTGAGGGATTGTCCGCATGTGCACGCCCCCGAGAACCCGGAACTATCAGCCTTATGTGGCAGAAATCATTACAGTTACAACACAGGGAATGATTCTGTGGTGTAGAAGGATGCTATTAGGGCACAAACCAGGCACGTACTCCTAATTCAGTTAGTGGAAGGTGGAGTCAGGAGGATCAGGAGTTCAAGGTTATCTTCAGCCAGCCTGACCTTGTCAGACAATAAAACAAGACCTTGAGAGTCAGTGAGCTCTAAGCCTGCAAGTAGGTGCTGAGAGTGGTGTTTCTGCCACTGACCAGGTAAGTCAGCCGGACTCGAGGGGTTAGAAAGGACCACAGTAGGATTCACTAGGGTCCTGAATGTCAGGCTGAGAAATCTGACTTTCTCTTGCCATGTTATGGTAAGCCACTGAAGGAGACTTAATGTGCCATGTTAACTATATTGCATTTTAGAAAATTCACTTGCTTACATTGGATCATATTTGAAAATTTCTTGCCAGCTAATAGTTCAAAGCCACTGGTAAGTTTACCCCTTAAAGATGGCTCAGTGAGTAAAGGGGCTTGCCAGCAAGCCTGCTGAGCTTAGTCCCCAGAGCTCACGTGGGGGAGAGAATGGACTCGGAAGTTGCCCTTTGACCTCCACATACACACCCCTTTCCCCACAATAAATAAATAACTGTTAGTATGAAAATACACGGTAATATACGGAGCCATTTCTTTCTTTTTTTTTTTTATTTTATTTTTCGAGACAGGGTTTCTCCGTAGCTTTTTTGGTTCCTGTCCTGGAACTAGCTCTTGTAGACCAGGCTGGCCTCGAACTCACAGAGATCCGCCTGCCTCTGCCTCCTGAGTGCTGGGATTAAAGGCGTGCGCCACCACCGCCCGGCCGGAGCCATTTCTTGATGTCACAACAGGGATATTGGAGAGGTATTAAGTTTGGATGGCAGATGCCAGTATTCTAGACAAAGCTGACTTTATAATGCTCTTTTAGTGTGTATGTGTGTGTTTGTGTGAGTGTGCGTGCGCGCGCGTGTGTTGAGAGAAGACCTAATCTATTGGCAGCTTGTTTGGAACTCACTTTACAGCACAGGGTGGCTTCGGTTCTCCTGCATTGCAGCCTCTCAGGTATTGGAATATAAGTCAGAGCCACTATGCCCAGCTCAGAAATGCGATTTTGATAAAATCAACTTCCATTGAGTCTAGACCACATGTGTTAAAATTCAGTTTTAGTTGTAACAATTACAAATTCATCGGCTTGGGTGGTAGAGAGAACCTTTAATTCTGGCGCTGTCAGTTCAAGGCCAGCCTGGGGCGATAATGTAGTAAACAAAGTTTATATATCTGTACTTCATAAAAAAGCAAAACTACAGAGAAATGAGGCTGAGTGAGGGCTAGAAAGGTACCTCCCTTAGAGGTCTTGTCTTTAAAGTTCTCTTTGTTCTTTTTAATCAATTCATTAATTGAAATTTCATGGTAATTAATTTACTCATTGAATTGAGACTTGATAAATGTTATTTTGGCAAGTAAAATGTAGTGCATAATCCGGTAACACATGTTAAAGAAGATGCTTCTTTCTCTTCTGATATTTTTAATATTTAGTTTATGAATAAACCTGGCACTCAGGGGAAAGCCAAGAGCCAATCAGGCCATTGGTCTCAGCAGGCTCCCCAAATATGCCTGCATCAAGATTGCTGACAGTGTGAGCATTTGACTGACCAGACATCCTTGGGAAAAGTACTCACGTCTAAAAGACAAGTGCTACTTGCTTGATTGGGAATGCCAGGGTTTCTCCTTGCTGTGTGAATGAGTTCGTTGCTTACATTTCCCTACACACAGAAACAAGGCCCTGTTTACTAGTTAGCTTCATTGGAATGCTCTGCTTATCACCCTCCCTAGTGTGTAGGCCTCAGGCGTCGGCTTGGTTTCTGGATGTTCGTGGAATTCTTGGCATTCGAGAAGCTAGGCCAACTTTAGGATGCCACTGAGGGTTTGTGTTGGAAGCATAAACGTGCAGGATTTAGGGAAGACAAAGTATTATAAAATGTACAGAGACGCGTAGACATTCCAGATGTTTGCAAAGAAAACCTGTAAGATAAAGCTGGTATTCAGAAAACTTTCTTTTGAGAATTGTCATCTGTTTCCACTGTAAATAGCAGAGATGTAGAGATTTGGGGGAATGGGGTCAGGGGTGAGGCAGGGTCTTGCTCTGTGTGTGTGTGTGTGTGTGTGTGTGTGTGTGTGTGTGTGTAGTCCAGGCTGGCCTTGAAGTCGGCATTTCTTCCCCTCAGTTTTCTCAGTGCCAGAATTGCAGGTGTGAACCACCACACTTCTTCACTGCATAGCTAGTTTTCCAATGATGTTTTTCTTCAGATGTACAGCAGCTCCCTGCCTGTTCCTCCTTGTCCTTCAATGCCCCAGTCTACCCGGAATCATAGTAAAAACAAGCCCCCCAGCATTGCACTGTTTCAGATTATCTCTAAGTAGCTCAATGTGGACACAAGCTATCATTGCACTTAATGTCTTCCAGAATCTCACCACTTTGAAATTTGCTTGATAAAAAAGTCTTTATTACAGTCCATATAAAATCCACATCCTGCACCTGGCTGAGAAGTCTCAATCTGTATTCAAATGGATTTTTGAGGTTTTGATAGAAGGCACACATATCTTCTGTCTCATTTTGAGGCATGAAAGCCTTACTCAGCTAGAACTGAGACACAGCCAGATGCTGGAAGGAACATACTGGGATGAACGTGGTTTCCCGTAGGTTCGGGTGGGGAGGAGATTGGACTGTGATAGGAAATGATGCCGGTTGCTGTTACACTCTGTGACTTCATCCCTGGGTTCTGATGCAATGTAAAGACTGTTGATGGAAACACTTATTTCTTGGTCGGTCAACGCATTGGTGAAATCAATGACCAGTGTTTCAGCTCCTATAACCCCAAATCGCCCCACCGAGGAGCTGCCATGGACATTCCTGCTGGGATGGAAGCACGGCCTTTCTGATCGTGTAGCTGATTAGCGGAGCCTTGTAAGGAGTGGTACTGAGAGAAAGCGGCACAAGTAGAAACTGTGGAACCGCTTCCTAAGAGGAGAGCAGTCGGAAGCGAAGGCTTTCTAAAACTTCAGGTCTTCTCTGTTTCCCTTTAATTTGATATTTGTAAATTAAAGGAGTGCATTTTTTGTATAATATTCATAAATGTTGCTGAGTCACTTTATTGACTAAGGAATATATCCCTTCACTTAGGAAAATGACTACATTAACTCCTACTTCGAAGATGGAGATGATTTTGTTATAGACAGCGATGACAACATGGATGAAGCAACCTACTAGCCATGGAATTTCTCTCTCTTTTTTTGGTGCAGCTCTGAGCATTTGTACTGACTTATTTTATTTCTGATACGGATTGAGTCCATATTTTCTCTTGTTCAGTGTTGGGTTTAATAAATTCCTATCAAGCTCTTCAGAAGCACTGTGCGTTTACACCACGACCTTACCCCAGCACCTCCACCGCTCCTCTGATTCTGTACTGAAGTTCGGGGTTCTTTGTTTTATTTGGATTTGAATGTGCCTGAAGAGCTTTAGCATCGTGTTCATACTTGAAAAAGATCAGTCTCACTTACCTGCTGACCTCTGGTAAAAGCTGTTACTAGTCAGAGTGGATTGCTATTGATACTGCACAAGGAGCACTTTAAACACAAACTGGAAAATGATTTCTTACCTGGTATGTTCTGTTTTATCACATGTGACTGCATAGACTCACCTGAATTCTTAACACATGCAGACTCAGGAGATGAGAGATCTGGTGGTGGGAAACATGCCCATGGCAAAATACAGTGAACTAGGTGAAATAGCATTGTTTCCATCTCAGCTGAAACAGAAGCTTTCCACGTGGGCAAAAGGATACAGAATGTTTGGCTTTGGAGGTAATTCCATGTGAATTAATCATTCCACTGTGTTAAGTTTGACATCTTCAATTTTGGGGGTTTATAGAAAAAAAATAACTGAGACATATGGTTTATTTCTCTGCTTTATGTATGTAAGTGGGAATAAGTCCTGGCTGAATAAACTCTGTAACAGATGGGCAGTGCCCTTGGCTTCGATTCACAAGATTCAGAGCCTGCAAGCCAAGGAGAGAATCGTGGAAAATGAACTCAGGTCATTTTGAAATTACCACTGATTCTTCTTGTTTTAACTTACAGGGTGACTCCCCTGTAGTTTTATATTTTGCAGGAGATATCCAGAACCCTTTGCCTCTAACGACTTTGAACATGCCAAAGATTTCTAAGGAAATGTATATTATACATTTCAAAACTAATATCTTAAAATTATCTACCTAAAGGAGGAAACCCTGCTCTCTGCTTTGGGGAGACTTGTCATTTATTACCTTCTGACCTGGAAACTGGAGCCCTGCTTTTTCTCTCAGGATCAAGATAACCTTGAAATTGAGCTTAAGTTCATGTGCCTTAGTTTCTCCACTTGTAAGCAGTTTCCTATAAAAATTGTTTAAACACTAAGTAGTTTACTAAATATTCCACCCTTTACCTTACAGAAACAGTCATGCCCTAAATTTGATTTTTACCCTGTAAACAACTGTACTGTGGAAACCAACATAGTTGTGAGACCATTTTCTGCTTCATTATAATTCAATTTTCTGATCTTTTACCCATGTTAGATTTGTACAGTCTGGCGAGATTCCAACATTCTTTTCTCAGGAAAAGAATACTTTAAATGGCAATACTTCTTCAAATATTTCTTCCAGATGGGTGTGATGGCCCATATCTTGTCTGTATAGTGCTGTACTGACCATGTGTGACTTACATCCAGTTCCCAGGAACTTGTAAAAAATATTTTGAGATTCTGAGTGGAAACATGAAAAGTCTTTAATGATCCAGTGTGTTGGGAAAAAGCTTTTAATAGTGATGGCAAATGCTGTTATTTGGGAATGACAGGTACTTTATTCTCTTACATTTGGTACCAGAGCCAAACATGTATTTCATAGATGCTCCTTCCTTTATTACACATCTGTAAATACCTGTTCAAATTGGGGAGATGCATTGGCAAGAACTTCTTCCCTAGCTTCCGGTTTGTCTTCACTGCTGTTTCTTCTGTGGGAAGCCCCTTTCGGACAGGACTTATTCTGGGGCATCTGGCATCTTTAGTGATGTTGTCACCCTTTAAAAGATCAGTTTACAACTTTAAATATACTAATTTTGAGAAAAGATGTTTTTTAGGTTGCTTGACTAACATAAATCTTGTTTTCTTGGCTTAAGCTTCGAGACTTTAGAGATAAATTCTTAATGATTAAAGTACTTACTGGGACTGGTTGGTGAAATATCTTAACAATAAAACTATTTGCTACAATGCTGATTTTTCTGTATTTGTTTATACATATAAAGTTTAAAAAATAAAATGTAGACCTAAATACTAAGATGGTTTACTGTGAACAGTTATTTGGTAGAGAAAACCAGTTAATTATGTTTTTTTTTTTTCTGCTAAAGTAACTTCATTTATTGAGCAGGGATGGTTGTTGAATAAACCTCACCACATATAACCAAACCCTTGCCTCTGATTTGGCAGGGCGTGTGTGTTCACTGTCAGCACCAAAGAATTGCAGTCCCACTGTCCATCCACACCTTCAGGTGACAAGTGTCAGAGGGATTGTAAAACAACTTTTAAGGTCACATTGCTGTAAAATAGAAACACAGGAAAGATAGGTTTCACCAGAAGAATTTCCTCAATTCTTTATGGCTCTCAAGTATATACATAACATCTGTATGTATGTACGCCTTGTGTATGTGGTGTGCATCTAAGTGTTCATATGCAAGTCTGTTTGTGGGCCAAAGGCTAGGTAGTCTTCCTCTTCATTTTGAGGGATCACCAACCCCACTGAATTGTCTGGCCAGCGAGCCCAAGGGATCTTCCCATCCCTGCCTCCCCTGCACTAGGATCACAGGAGTGCCTTTTTACATGAGTGCTGGGGAGCTGAACTCCCATCGTGCACAAGCACTTTACTGACTGAGCATTCTCCTGAGTCCCTAAGATTTATATTCCTGGAAGGCATTTTTGTATATAACACATTACAATCTACATAGAGAGCATCTCCTGAGACTGACTTAGCTCTATGAGCATGGCCTGGACTTACCAAGTCTTTTTACCAGGAACACAATCCCCATCGCCATTTATCTCACACTTGTTTTATGTTCCACAGATAACCCAGTAGGAAATCTGAATTCATAAATGTGTGACAACTCGATCTTATACCCAGCTGTGAACTCCACTGAGTACAACAAAGACTGCCCTGGCAGGACATAGCCATTAGTGAAATAGTGGCACAAGCATTATAGAAGTAACCAGTTACTTGCTAGATTTCAGCCCTGTTCCGCTAGATGAAACTCACACTTGGCACCATTATTGAGCTAAAAACCTCCTGTTAGACACATCATAGATCCTAAGGAAAACCTCCTGTTAGACACATCATAGATCCTAAGGAAAACCTGTGAGACACATAGATCCTGAGGAAAACCTCCTGTTAGACACATCATAGATACTAAGGAAAACCTCCTGTTAGACACATCATAGACCCTAAGGAAAACCTCCTGTTAGACTAACATCATAGATCCTAAGGAAAACCTCCTGTTAGACACATCACAGATCCTAAGGGGAAAACCTACTATTAGGCTTGTAAATAAAATATTAGACTCCTAATGATTCAAAACTCATCTGAAAAAGCTAACATGCAGTAAATGGTGATAGACTGGCCAATGAACAGAGACTAATTGCACACACCTTCCTTCCAAGGCTAAGGAATCACTGAAGAGAAAGTGGAAAGATTCCAACAGCCAGAGATAGTAGATGACCACTTGGAAACATCTGGAAAGAACAGTGTAGCTGCACCTATGAACTGTTGGGACAGCATGTACAAGACGTGCAAACTCCAGACAGATCAAATCCTAGCGTGACAAGGAAAGCTGGGCACACAATCTCACTCCCAGCCATGGAGCACATGGGAAATGACAGCAGCTTAGAGGCAGTTTTCTGTCAGTGCATCTCAAGATCAGTCAACCACCATGCTCAGTGGAAAGCACACATCTAAGAATATTTGGGGCAGCAAATTGGCCTTACTGTGTGTATGTGAGTTAAAGGACACAAAGGTAAGTGTATAAGAAATAGATCTGGGAAGAGCTGGAGGTGTGTGTGAATACGAACAAACACATACATAACTTGAAACTCTTAAAGAACTAATGTGATAAAATGTATTCCAAGGGACTGGAGAGATGGCTCAGGGGTTAAAAGCACTTGCTGTTCTTGCAGAGGACCCAAGTTCAGTTCCCAGCACCCATATAATTGTTTACAGCCATCTGTAACTCCAGTGCTAGAAACTTGACACCCTCTTCTGGAAGGCGCACATGAGATATGCAGAAAAAAGCCCATACATGTGAGTTCAAACAAACATTAAAAACATTTTTAAAAATGTATTTCAAGTAGCTTGAAAGAAGAAAATTAAATATTTGCTTTATTCAATTACAGTCAACAAGTTCCACTTTCAAACTGATTAATAAAATAGAAACTTTATTAATATTTTGCATATCCTTAAAATATGAAAAGGCAAAAAGTTTAAAAACCAATTTTACAGATATACATGCTACAATGGTTTAATACATTTGCAATTATATAAAACACATTATACAAAGGATTTATAGCTTTGTATACATAAAATGAATTAAATAAAGCATTCATATATTTCTATGAGCTAACAGTGCAATATGCACATACTTAGAAATACTGATTTCCTGAGCAATAATGTTGTAATTCAAAATCAGAGTCCCATGATAATGCAGTGTTTAAATAACTCAATCCTGTTCTAGCACTCTGAGACTGGATCTCTGCTTCCTTTTCTAACCACAGCCTTCACATTTCCAGTGAGATATAAATCAGTTACTAAAGAGTGGTTCATTTAATGAATTTTCACACCACCAAAAAGTACAGTCCAGAAAAGTTTTTAACACTTAAACTCCACTGGAAAAGAAAACTTGAGATTGCACGCTCCTTCCTAATCTATAGCATGGCCAGCAGACCATAGTTTTGTTTTCAGAAAGGACAGTGAAGATATTTAAGTAGCTATCCATTGGTTCAAAACAAACTCTAACTAGTGTTTAATGAGTCAAGAATTTGTCCTAACAATATCAGGTTTTTCTTTACTTGCAATTCGAAATTTTTAAGCAAACTGATATTAATGACTATGACTCACTTATATGATAACTGTATACACACACACATGTTAAAGCCTCAAAGCAAATTCAAGTAAGGGCTTGAACATGATCCACAGCATCAATGACATTTGTGCTTATGTTGTCTAGAGGACAATGAGTTTGCAGTTGCCAAAAATTTGCATACATTTGCAAATGTGTATTTAATAGTTTCAAAAATTCCATTAAATGTTTTTTCTTTTAAAGATAAAAGCATAATTCTATATATAGAATTATATTCAACTAGTAATTCTAAAATATATAGGAAAAGGAAATTGGTTGGTTGTTTCCTAAGGATGTGTGTTGTAGTTTCTTCGAAATGGATGCTCAAGGCAGACATGATTGTAACCAACATCTCCTCTGTTAAACAGTTCACAAACCCCGGATCACAACTCCAAAGTAAAATCAGCAAGACAGAATCGCCAACTCTGTAATTTTATGTTTGATGTAAACAAAGTTCTTCGGAGGTTATGTAGCCTGTGCTGCCCTAAAGTCTTCATTTTCTACCCTAAAATTTGATTTTTCAGTAGGCTTAATAAATATTATGTAAACTGTTAACACTGAGCATAATTAAAGATTGTGCTCATTTCAAAATGCACATGACATGTTAAAACAAAAATTATTTCAACTAAGATATACAAAGTGAATCAACTTACTACAACTTTTTTAAATACTTTAAAGGTAATTTTCTAAACTTTTCTCATATATGTAAGGGTTTAAAAATGACTGACTTCTGTGTCTTTTTGTAGTGCTTTTTCTTCTCAAAGTATATAACCCCCCCCCCGTATAATAAATATGTATTAATAATTCCCTGTATCAGAATTGGAATTTGATATACAAAATGTTTAAAAGCTGAAACATTTAGGAAATAATGTCCAGAAAGTCAGATGATAAAACATATTTTAAGATGGGCAGTTTATTATACAGAAAACATGCAATCCAGATTCTACCACCTGTACCTATATTTTAAAAACACATATTTAAAATTAAACACTGAAATCAGTATACAGATGCTTTCTGATCAAATTGGTTGTATCACAGTTGACTTAGAAAAGGCCACTATTAAGCCCTTTTGATTAATCCACACAACTTTGGCCTGTGTTTCTCATTTTGATGGTGCATATTAAGTGGGGATAATCTAAACTGGACATTTTCTTTTTGAAAAGCAGAGGTCAAGGGACTACCACATAAAGTAATCTACCTCCTGATAATGTAAAAGTCCTGTTTACTCATTTTTGCTTAATCAGTCATGTTTTTCTGCATGACTTCAGAGGCAGATAGTAGCAATTTGTTTGACTCCATTAACTTATGTTTAAAGATGGAACCAGACAAACTCACAGAGGCCTATGGAATGCAATCCGACAGTGTTTCCACTTGGACTGTCCAGAGACACTGGAAGGCACTACGTGTCATTAAGGCTTGTTACTATTTGTACCAGCAGTGATTAGTCACAGTATATAAAGAGCAACGTGCTGAGTATGCTTTTCTGTCTACACAGTGCTTCTAAATATCAGACACATGTAGTTCTTCTGGTTTTGTTTTTATAAGTGGAAGTGAGGTTGGAGGGATGCTCACAGAGCATTCCCTTTCCATGGACTAGGTCTTGACTATTTCAGTGCCCTTGTGATCAAATCAAATGGTTACGTTTCCAACCCTAAGACATTATTTTGGGGTCTTAATATATTTAAAATTGGTTAGCCTGTATTACAGGAATTATAAATTATGTTTCCATATCTGTTTCTACATCTGCTTTCATAGCATGTGTTAAAACATGTTTTTAAATTTCAAAATTGAGTATTAAGTATATGTTATATATAATTTTAAAATCAAACTTTTACAAGTTTTTTGGTGGCATGGTAGTGAATTTTCTTCAGTTGTAAGCATTTGAAACACTCGACATGAACAACCTTAAATTAAAAAAATCTTTTAAAAAATAAATTTAAACATAACTAATCTTGAAAAAGAAAAAAAATGACAGCATCTTCTAAGTTATAATTCCTAGAAATACATTTAAATTAATTTCTGCTTTAAGAACTGATACAGCAGATGTATTCTGACCACTCTCACCATAAAGAAGCAGTCATGTGTGCTACAGACAGT